CACGCACGCACGCACGCACACAAAATATTTTAGAAATATATTCTTGAGGTTTATATGAATATATATTTTATTGTTATATATGTATTATATATTATGCATGCATCAACAAAATCCCGTAATAACTGAACTTCTAATGTCAATTTGTAAAAAAAAGCTTTTCAGTTGTCAGTAACATTGAAAGCTATAATGTATATTTATTAATAAAAAAACTTAAATTTTTAATATAAATTAGTTTTTAAGTTAGTTTTTTTTAGCTAATATACTAACAAATTTATATAAAATATCTAAATGTTTTTCATATAATAAATATATATTTACCATGGCATTCAATCACATTTTCGATACCGGCGACCTGCTCCAAAGTGTCAATATTTTGTGAATAGTTTCTCAAGAGTTTTTTCTGTGTGTCTAACATTTTGATGAACCTATGACAAGGGCTAGGTTTAAACTGTCCTGGATATATTTCGCGAGCAAATTTGTAAAATGGTCTGGGATCTTGACTAAAATAATTAATGTCAAACATAGCCTGGAAACAAATTAAAAAATATAAATTAGATAAATTCTATTTAATTGTAAAGTCTTTAATTATTAGCTCAAGATTTTAAAAGGGTTAAGGATATTAACTACAATTTGATTGTAATTCAAATAATTATAAAGCCGAATAATTTCGAAATACCTGTGGATCTGGTAAGTCTGGAAAATCCTGTGCCAGTCTTGAATAAATACCATCTCTACTTCTAAAATCAGGAATACCGCAGCTGACACTAACGCCCGCGCCAGTCAATACTATAATTTTTTTACTATTCCGAATTAATCGTACCACATCAGACAAGGTATTTATGTGTTTGAGCTTTTGCCGCCTTGGAGGCTCGGACATCATATTGATTATAATCTGAAATTAGTGTAATTGAGAATTACATTTATGCAACCATTTTCTTGCTGAATCTTAAAAATTATTGTAGATCTAAAAAATGTCATACACATATATACATACATGGAAGGTATATATACACATACCTTCCATAATGTGAGATCGTCAACTTGTTCAGGAATCTGTGTGGAGTCCATGAGGAGATGGTGTAGGAGATCCCTAGGATCGGTACCCGTCAACATCTGTTTCTGAATCCATGAAGAAGCATTTCTCCACTGATGACTGACTTCTGCTTCTCCAGAGAGATCGGACAATCCTGATAAATCCGACAGGTGTGAGACAGTGGAGGAGATTTCATCCTTCTCATCTGCAGTATCAATCCTGGAATGACATTAATATAAAATTTTTAATAATTATTAAATATAATATACAATGTTAAAATATTTCTTTTTATGTAAATCAATTTTCCTGATTTTTTTGGATAAATTTTAAGATAAGATGAAAGAGTATACATTTTATGAGATGTTTGAATAAAATATAATACTTTTCCAAAAAAATCTATTTTCTAAGAGAATAATTTGCAATATTTTTTTATTTCACAGATATGCACAGATTTGTAAATAAGACTTACGGGCAACCAGTATCATTACTGGTGGAATCAACCCGTGATGGTGGCGATATTGAACTCGAGGCTGCAGGAGATATGGAAGCTGATTTAGATTCATCACTCAGTTCGTTAAATCCACTGTCTGTACCAAGTGCTTCTATAAAATAATAATAATATGTTTAATACAATTAAAATTATTAATAAAATATAAAAAAAATATAAAACTGATTTTTTAATTCAATATTGAATTAATACATGAAAGAAATCATTTTTTTCTTATAATGTATATCAAAATAAATTCTGTTTTTGTCATTTAAATCGATATAAATTAATAAGGTACAAATTTTAAAAAATTTTTGTTTAATACTTTGCATTAATAAATACGAGCGTAAGTTTTTAATGAGATCACTCTTATTACAGTCATTTATTAATTATTAAGACATATTTAAGAGAATGCAAAAACTATCAATTATAAGATCAAGGTAAATAAATTAGCTTTAATTTCTGCATGCAGATATTGTGTTTTGCTCCAAAATAATATTCGAACGAATATTATTTTGGAGCATATCTCGAGATAATGACGGGAGCGATATACGCAAGCGCGATATACAAAATCTGTGAAGATGGTACGAGATAACGTATAAGTTTTATTCCTTGCAGCAGAACTTTGCGCCTCTCATCTCTGTTCGAGTGTCTTTTCCTTTGTCTAATGATGTATCTGTCTCATTTCGAATGCAAAAAATATAACAAAATCTAGCTCTTTTGCAGCTACGAAGAGTTCACGTGTTGTACAGAACATAAGTTCGAATACTCGAATGATAATACGCGGCGAACAGAAGACCGAAGAGATCGCGTACAAAGTGCGGCTAAAAACGAGTGAAACCGTGCGAATGCCATCTGTGAGTGTCGACGAGAACCATTGAGCGCACTCGGCAATCTCCTGATACGAACGATCGATCGACGCCCAGCAGCATTCCGTAGGAATTAGGATTAGATATATCTCGAGGGAAAATTGGAGGAAAAAAGACACGACGATAAAAATATATTCCGCGACGTCCAGTCGAGACGGGATACGCTCGCCGATCGATCGATCGCGATGCGGAAACACGACCGCGCGAAATTGCGACGTGATCGGTCGCGACTGTCATGGCGGCCGTGGACGGCCGTTCGAGGAACGAAAGACGCGGAAGGCAACGGAGCCGAAAAGGCGGCTAACCGCCGCCATCTTGCGCGCGGGGCACCCGCGAATTTCGTGGGTATTACGGGCGATCGAGCGGCTATTTAGCGGATTTCGATACCTTCGAGATCGTCGTGCGGGCTGTCGCGCGGGGTCTCGCCGGGCTGCGGATCCGCCAGCGTCGCGCTGATGCTCCCGTGACCGCCGCCGCCGTCGACCTTACGACGCTTCACCGGGGACGAATATTCCAGCAGCTCCGAGCTCGACGCCATTTTCGACAGCAATGCAACGCATAGTACGATGCACTTCGGCCCTCACCTCACTCTCGCCACTTCCAGAGGTCGCTTTCGGTCGTCCTGTTTCCCCCCACCTCTCTCCCCACTCGCGCTGTCACCGCCCTGACCCCCTTCGGCCAGTTCCGGCACGTCTCGTCGCGCGTCCGATGGCTATATGTGCACGTCATTGGTTAAATCCGTTTAGAGAAATATAGAAATTTCCTATCGGGTAGCGAATGGTGATTTGACAGTGTGCGAAAGGTTATAAATCGGCCGTGCAACTTGTGTTATTCCTGTGATAACTGTCGATAAACTGTCAAACTGAAAATGTTTGCTATATAATTGTTACATAAGAAAAACAGGAAACAATTCTGTGTTTCAAAGGAGACGGGAAGAAATTTATATATCTAAGAAGAAAGAGACATCAAGGGAAAAAAAAGAGAAAAATAAATTGAAGATACGAGCGAATCAAGTTGAATCCAAGTGAAGCTCTCGTTCGTTCCTCGTAACTTAGCTTACTCCAGAAGATCGTATAGTCGAGCGATAATGAGCTCCGATCACATGCAGAGGCGATGGAACAGTTTGCGAAAAGTACTGGCGAGATCGGGCCCGTTTTGCCGGCCGGACTTCGAGCCGTCCCCCGATAATTTGCAGGTACTTCTGGACCAGTGCAAAGTGCTCGTTGTCGGCGCCGGCGGTCTCGGATGCGAGCTACTCAAGAATCTGGCCCTGATGGGATTCAGGGACCTTCACATAATCGACATGGACACGATCGAGTTGTCTAACCTCAATCGGTAGGTGAGGTTAAATGGCGCAAGATGCTCTATACTTTTACAGATGTGTTTTTTTATATATTTTGCCAATATTATGTGGTATATATGGTCTACATGTTATATGCTATAATAATATTATAACATTAGAACGTAGAAATGTTTTTTTTATCTTTTTTACTAACCTATATATAATTTAATTTCTGAGTGTTAGTAAATGTTATATTATTATACAATTCTCTTTTATCTTTGAGCCTGTAATTAAAATATTGAGCGCGACTTACATGAAAGATTATTCGGATAAACATTTTATTGAAGATATAAAGGAAACAATTTTGTTTTTCATAAACTTAAAATGTTACAGACAGTTCCTATTTCGTCATAAAGACATTGGATCTTACAAGGCAGCGACGGCTGCAAAATTCATCAACGCAAGAATTCCCGGCTGTAATGTGATCCCACACAATTGTGAGATACAAGCTAAATCCGAGGAGTTTTACCAATCGTTTGACATGATAATCTGTGGATTGGATTCAATTGTTCCAAGGAGGTGGCTCAACAGTATGTTAATATCTTTGCTCTCTTATAAAAACGGTGAAGTAAATCCATCCACCGTGATACCTATGATCGACGGTGGGACCGAAGGCTTCAAGGGAAATGTTCGAGTTATATTACCCGGTATGAGCCCTTGTATCGAGTGTACCTTGGATCTTTATCCACCGCAAGTGAGCACGGCCTCCAATTTATTTTTTAAGATTCAATAATATCAACAGACTAGTTTCATATGAATTAGAAACTTGTTTATATCTCACATAGGTCACATATCCTTTATGCACGATAGCCAATACTCCGCGTTTACCTGAGCATTGTGTAGAGTATGTGAAGATAATTCAGTGGCCGAAAGAAAATCCGTTCGACTGTGCCATCGACGGGGACGATCCCCAACATATAAACTGGATTTACGAGAAGTCGAATGATAGAGCGACACAATTCGGCATACAGGGCTTGACATACAGACTGGTACAAGGTGTCGTCAAGAACATCATACCGGCAGTGGCATCAACAAATGCTGTTATCGCCGCCGTCTGCGCGACAGAAGCGTTCAAACTCGCAACCAGTTGTAGCGCATCCTTAAATAATTACATGGTAAATAGCGCATGATAAATCATCAGTCCATTTTGTTGTAGATAATATATAAAGCCAGACTACGCGTTAAAAATTGAGAACTGCAAAGAGATTAGGTTCTGATCAATCTTGTAGTTTTGTCCAATCGATTGAATTTTGATCTCCAATTCACGGTTCTCGATTTTTTTAATTCGCATTTGATAATAATATTGTAGAGTTTATATGTATTATTATTTCGTTCAAAACGCAAAAATGAGTCGTTTATTTATATCAATAGCGAGTTCGATGAGATAATAAAAAAATTATGCATATCTTATTTTTAGGTACTCAACGATTTGGACGGAGTTTACACGTACACTTATGAGGCAGAGAGAAAAGAGAATTGCTTGGCATGTGGTCAAGTACCACGAGAGATTGAAATTAAAGATTCGAAATGTAAACTACAGAATTTGATAGATCTTCTTTGCGAGCGGCCAGATCTGCAAATGAAAAGTCCCGCTCTTACAACTATGATAGACGGTAAAAACAAAACTCTGTACATGCAAATGGTAGCGAGCATCGAAGAGAAGACTCGCGAGAACTTATCCAAGACTCTGGTCGAATTAGGTTTAAAAGATGGTAGTGAAGTAAATGTTGCCGATATTACGACTCCAACTACAGTTACTATAAAATTGAAATTTCTGCAGGACAATAGTATGAATCAATAATAAATGTTCTGATAATTTACTTTTCAAGCAACCCATTTCTCATGCAATGTATTTCTATTGTTCAAAATTCGAAAAATGTGAACTGGAAAATAAAAAAATATAATGAAGTATTGCAAAGTCAAAAATTGCTCGTACAAAATCACACGTTTCATATGTTTATATCTGACATCACCTTTCATGCAGGATATATCGAAATTAATAGAATACAATTGTTTCATTGCAATTGCATCGCATTGTCAACATTATTGGCATTTGATAATGGATATTCGTGACTTTAATGACGATTTTTTTAACACAAAGCATACAGGGTGTCTCAAAATCACCGGAGACATTTCTTTAGTGATAAATTCTTTGACGAATCTAGAGTCGAGTTTTCTTGAGACGTTAATCATTTTTAAATAATAAATGATCGAAGAAATTTTTTGCAAACTAACTTTAAAGAAAATCAAATAAGATATATTTTACATTCAATTTTGGAGTTTAGGAAAATATTAAATGTTAGAGTCATAGTTACAAAGATATGTGAAAAATTATAAAAATGCAATAAACATTTTTTATATTCCCATTCAAAAAAAATCAAGTCTGAGTTGATTGAAAGATTTATCATAAAAAGAACATCCGGTAATATACGTGTATAGTTTTTGAGACGTATTTAGTACAATAAAAAAAAAATAAAAAAAAACAGATTAATCTGTAAGTCAATAAAAACATTTAGTATTTAAACAATAAAGACACGACTTAAATACTGTTCTATATTTCTGTACTTACATCCCCTTTCACTCTTATCAAAGATCATATGTCGTAGCAAATTATGTCAATAAGGGATAATCTAAGAAAATCCGGTTTGTATAATTACAAATCCAAATTGATGAAATGGTTTCTTTCTTTTGCTTTTCTACAAATATGTAATACTTGGCAAATTACATATATTTAATTGCATTAAAAGAGAAATGGAGTAGTATAATAATTCATGAATTATATGTATGTGTCGAAATTTATACTTGTCAACTCGTCAATCGTCAAGCATTTTTATAACAACTTTTTTCACATCACTGAGTTCAATTGTATACTGCATATGAATTTTGTGCACCAGCCCTCGTTTGTAAATAACTTTATACATTTGTTTACACTGTATGTGCGTTTGTATGTATACGTGTATACATAAAAATTATTTCGTTTTAAATGGATTATAATTAAGATGTCGTCTAATTAAAAAAATCTCAAAATAAAATATTATGAAGTCTTTCTCTAGATCTTATCAATATATATAATTTTGTTCCAAACACGATTGCAATTATAAAAAAAATATTCAAACGATGGACAGTGCACAATGATCTTTTTTTGTTATACAAGCACACTTTGTAACATTCAACGTATGCACAACTTGAGTAGAAAAAATATCTATAACAGATACATTTTGTCTATCCCTCTTATATAAAACTATTATTACATAATAGTAATTTTTATAATTTACGGCTTGTAGCAAGTCGGCAAGTTAATATTATTTCCCACGAATATATCTCCTTGTGAGAGTCTATTTTTCGCTCAAATAAACTTTCATTCAATATTAAAGATGCATTTTCAGCTGCTACTAACAATTTGTACTCCGCACGCGATTCATAACTGGCGCAGAGTAGAAAAGACTTATATAATAATTTATTTTTTTGTTATCGGTCGGGGGTATTTTCGCAACGAAATACTCGAAGAATCATTGGCATTTCATTGTTTATGCAGCGTCCAAGAACGGACATTCCTCCAATTGTACAATTTAAAGTTGAACGTTATAGTATAACTTTTTTTTATAGCTGGATACAAAATTGCGCAGAACCAGCAATAAGCATGAAAGGGAATCGTACTTCACGGAAATATTTTAAAAGTTACGATGTACAACTCGCCAGTTCATAAAATTGAATTTTGCGACACTGCCAATAATAGTGATGCATACATAAATCAGAACAGATGTACAGATTTGGGTCCATACGATTCACTTCTCTTAGCTCAGCCAATCTAAATGTTTCACAAAAAACAATCACACAAAATTGTTATGTATGAAATTGTTAGTTCAAAGATTGAAACGTAATATACAACAATTGCAAATAATAGTCATATGAATAATCATCAATCTGCATATAATAATAATAATAATAATAATAATAATACCATAGTCCATTAAAAGATAGTCTGGTATAAAAACTTAAGCGCTGATACAGTTGTGGCGTAATGTGTGTGATAAAGTTTAATTTTCTCGATAGAGCAACAAAACTCGACACTTCTTTCAAATGAATGAAACATATAGATGTGCACCAGACAATTGCTGATAATTTATATAGGGATGTAGCAATGCTATGCTACGCATAGCATTGTAATTTGTGCAACGTCCGGATAGAGTTATGGCTACGCTGATTGTTGAACGAACTGCATTTCGAAAGTGTCCAGCCTTGGCTCCCTTAAATCACTAAATAAAATCGTAGTATCGGAGTAGTGCACGACGCCGGTAAGTCATGGTACGTGTTAAAATGACAATGTTAGGCCTTAGCGTCGACTTCCACAGTGACGTCTCCTACAGCTTTCTCAGCCTTCTTTTTCTTCTTTTTCGCCGATTTCGGATTTGCCGAGGAATATAAAAGGGTCTACAAATTTTAATTACAGACAAAATTAACCGATCGTAATAGCAATGGCAGTTATAAAACTGTTATTTGCTTATTTAATATTCTATATACCTTCAATTCAGGATCATCCACGACACAGTCGGATTGATACATGTCGAGATCGAAAGGAATCCCCGTAATTTTATGAGGTCCATTAGGCATCAAAAGTACCGTGAATTTGAATTGCGCTGCGTACTCGTTTGGTTTTTCATACAGCACCTACATAAAACAAATTTAATGTCAGAATTTTGTTTGGGCAATACGTATGAAAGCTGATAGATATAAAAGTATAAATGATAATCTTACTTGGAACGGCTCAATCAACCTATGATTTACACATTCAACAACAGCCATTTTTGCTTTTTTCTCGTCTTCGAAGGTACGTAAATTGAAAGGCATGAGACCATGCTTGTGGGAGACTTCTGAATAAAACATGCGAGATGCCTTCAGTTTAAGCTGATATGTCTCCTCTGTTTTCTTGTATATCGTAACTCGGGTATCCTGCTCCCTTCCCACTCCTTCACCTGTGCTAACTAGTACATCCATTGCGTATACCTGAAATTAAATATCTTCTTCTATATAGTGCTCCCCTCTTTATTTTATATTACAAATTTGTAATAACTATTATTTCAATTTTCATATCAACTTAAATATACCTCGTGAGTCTCGAGAGTATACTTTTCATGCTCCTTCTTTTGCGCATCGTTCGGATTCTGGATTATTGTTTTGTCTCCATCGATCTTAAATTGTTTTAACTGATGACTTAGCATACCTTCGATCGGTTTACATTTATAGGCATCACATATTTTCTCCACGGTGCCTGTTATCGTATAAGTCTGAAATACATAATTAAGCATCAAGATATGCTTGCTTTAACAACTATTTACTTAAAAAAAAAAAAAAAAAAATGAAAAAAAGTGAAAATGATAACACGTACAAGTACTCTCAATCTTACCTCTGTACCTGGCTTCAAAAGCCTTAATGCAGCTTGAGAAGCATAGTGTGCAGCTAAAACTACATCCGCTTTCCTGCCTGTTACTTTCTTCTCTGGTAAAGATCCTATGACGATAGTGTGCGCCACTACAGCTATGAAACCATCCACATGTGCTCCAAGATCACTGTAAATATATGATTTTATTAATTATACCAAACTTATAAAGAGTAAAATGAATGTAACATCAATTTCTGAAGAATGATGTTACATGTAACAATATTATTTAATATATGAAATGCTAATAAAAATAAATCTTGGATTTTTGGAGTTATATAAAGCAACTTTTATGGAGAAACTTACACTTTAACCATATCCTCATCTTTGAGAATCAAGTCAGGTTCACTAGCGATAGGAGAAAAATGACAAATGCAATTGTTGACTGATATGCATGTTGGAAAAGCGATTCCCTTTTTAAGTTCCTTCTCCTTTTTGAAAACTTTACTAGTTTCCTCTGTAAGTATTTTGTCACCAAACTCACATATTTCCCTCACAGAGGCTCCAGTCACGCATTTATTTAGAACTTGTTTCAATACTCCTGCAAAAATACATAGCATGTATTAATATAGTTTAATTATGAGAAAAGCCATGTGTGTTACAGTCGAGTTCTGATTCTGGCAAAAGCTTCAAAAAGCTAACTCGTTAAATGTCAAGCCCGAGGAACAGGAAGCAATTGTGCTTTGCTCCAAGTATTCTTAAGTGAAATAAAGAAGTGTAAAAGTTATTAACAAATAATAAGACTAATTATAAGTAGATGATTAAAAACAAGGTTTTTATTTTAGTCAAGCTCCGATTAATTGGATCATAGATTAACTTATTATTTTATCAAAGACAAAACAATTTTTTGTTATTCGACATATGGAAAAGAAAATAAATTAGAAACGGCGAATTTGATAGTTAGAAATTTTGCTTTTCCGCCGATGAACGCCTGATTGACGAGCGTCCCGTCGGAGTTAATCGGAGATCTTGATCGAGGTCGCTCCGAGGGAGATTCTCGTGCTCGGCGAGGCAGGGGGACTGATACGAGGGCGGAAAGCGCTGTCGCGAGCGAGCAACGTTAACGAGAACGTTAGGTCCGGGCACATGGTCGTGGCCCCCGGCATTGGCGCGCCACATTCCATATGGCCGCGACGGCAAAAGAAAGCGCGCGCGACGCACGCTCGCGACCGCGCGGCCTTCCGCGCGAACACGCGCTACCGTTTCCTTACGATTTACGATCTCGCCGGCCATTTTATACTTGGTGACAACCAAGTCCTCGGCGATGGTCTTCTCGGTCTCCTCCTTGTCCGCCATGTCTTCGAGTATACTGTATCCGCGCGATCACGTGACTCCGGCGGCTTCCTCGTTGATACCTCTCTCGATGCCCCAGATACGTATGTACGACCGACACGACGACGGCGAGAAACCGAGACGGATGACGAGACGACCACCAGGCACCAGCACTACTAGCGACCACGAGTAATAAATAAATAGATAGGCTAGAGAGACCAGGCTTACTCGTTACGTGACCTGTCAGTGGATTTCGATTGGTTGAGTATGGACATGTAGATTTCTGATTTCTTACTGCAGCCAATCGGAGTAAATCAGGAAGAGGGAAAGGAAAACTAGTTCGCGTCGCCGCGTCCGATGAAAGCCGCGCGCGGATAAATCGCGGTGTGCCGCGCGCGGTGGCCGATGAAGAAAAATAGTAAAACAAAAATATAATTTCCGTTCTTTAATTACGTACGAGATTAAATTGAAAAATCTTGGAAAACGTGTGGAGCACTGTTACATTCGATATATCGATCTCTCACATTGGAGCCATCGACTATCATCGATCGAGTAGCAACGACTGTCGATATACTGTCGATAACCTACCTCACGCAAGAGAGTAGACAGAATGGAGAGACTAATCTGCAAATTGTCACACAAGTGACACTCGCCGCCCGACGATTGATTCCAATGTGCGCGTGAGCTTTTGTATCTTTGTAAAACAAACCGGCAATTGTCTGTCGAGTTCCTGACTCGCGCGCGCCACACCCGGAAGATAAATGCGCCTGATAGGAGGGAGTGTCCGGGCCGCGAAGAGGCTTCTTGGAGTTATAAAAGGGTTCAGCGTTTGCTAGCGCAAGAGAAAACGACCGAGGGAAGTAAAACGAGAGGAAGAGAAACATTGACGAGGGCACACCGTGACTCCACGTCGCGACTATTCGAGAGAAAAATGACCGTTATGGATTTTTTTGGTTGCGCCTGTCTGGCCTTTGGCCCACCACTAGCCATGTTTACGTTCACCATCGCCGTCGATCCTATCAGGATAATCATACTGATTGCCAGCGCCTTCTTCTGGCTCATCTCCTTGCTGCTGTCGTCGGTGCTCTGGTACGCCGTCGTCCCGCTGCAAGAACATCTCGCATTCGGCTTGGTCTTCTCTGTGCTCTTCCAGGAAGGTTTCAGGTAATTCCTGCCGTAATTCCTCAATTAATTCGGTGCGTGTCCAATATTTTGCATATATATATAAACAAATTTGTCGATCGTTTTGTCTGTTTAAAGGTATCTGTTGTACTGGGTGCTGCGTAAAGCCGAAAGGGGTTTAGAGAAGGTCACAACGACACATGTCGCTGATAGCAGACATGTATTCGCTTACGTTTGCGGCTTAGGTTTCGGCTTCATGAGCGGCGCTTTTGCTTTAGTCAACGTTCTCGCCGACGCGGTCGGGCCTGGTACCATGGGACTCCGGCAGGGTAGCGAATACTTCTTCATAATATCGGCCGCCACCACTCTGTGTTTCATTCTCCTGCACACGTTCTGGGGCGTCATCTTCTTTTCCGCCCTGGATAAGAAAAATTGGGGACAAATCGTCTGGGTGGTGGGATCGCATCTGGTTGTCTCGTGTATGACCTTGCTCAATCGTTATCAGGCGTACGCGGCCAGTCTATTATCCGCTTACATAGTACTGGTAATAACGACTACACTTGCGTTCAGGATTGCCGGCGGACGGACGCAGTCTTTAATTCTCTGTTTTCAAAGAAACTGAGAACTTATAAAGGTTACTTAATAATACTTTTAACATTTAAGAAATTCATCTCTGATACATAATAACAAATATATAATTTCCCTTTTAACGCTAAGAAAATCTTTGTTGCTCTATTATGTACACGTAGAAATGATACATTCAATGATCAGGATACTTTTTTCATTCGGATTATTAAGCAGGATACAAAGTATAAATACGTAATATTACTCATTTTGTATGGCGAAATGTACTCCATTGAATTCAACGATGTGTAATATATCTGATATGTACGTTGGCCAAATTGATGGAGGAACAGATTTCATTCTATATATATGTATAGTATTATTTTGAAATTAATATTTTTCGAAACATCTCTCGATGTGAAAGCCCTAAATTATTTCCCTTGTAAAAGGCTCTAGCACAAGATAATTATGATCAAGTTGCTAGTCCGTCCCTTAATCCATCGAAACAATTATATGGAACAGAATAATCTGTAATAATCCAGTTTTGATCCAAATAGTTGAAGTGTATATTATCCCTTTACATCTAAGGCTCTCTCTTGGTTTTTTTTATTGCAACCATGCTGAATCATGACGTCAGAAGCGAGGGAATTATATGAATTTTCTTTGTTGCGTTATATATTAAAATAAATGTCACTTTTCATTACACACGTTTAATAATAGATATAAAAGATTCTCTTCAGCCCATAATAAATTGCTATAAAGTCATCTATTATAAAATTTAGCTTGGAATAGAATGGTGCACATATCTAATTGTATATACACACTCTAATGCAGGACAATAAAAGAAGTTTTTTTCGGCATATTTTATCAATCTATATTACAATGTATGCAATGCAAGAAAATTCATATGATTTTTCGCTTCAATCATAATTTAATATGGCTGCAGAGAGAAATTATAAAAAAGAAGAAAAAATCTAAAATGTATGCATCAGTGCGCTCATACGTGTGTATGTATATAAGTATGCGTCTATATAATGTTATAATTATTGTATCAAACGAGGTGTATATTTGTGCATCAAATTTGCGCCTTAAAAAATGGATTCCTTGAGTAGGTTAAACAAAAAAAAACCGATAAAGTTTAAGGAATTGTTCGTTACTTTTTTGTATGCAAAAAGAGAATCGCTTTACTGACGATTACACTTAAGACAATTACTGTAACATGTATCTCTTGACATTAATTTAATTTTACACTTATCACACATCTCGCAATCATTTATTAATCAAATCATATTGCATTTCGTATGACATTGAAATGAAAAAAATTTTTGTAAAATACTAGCTGTATAAATTACTGTTATTGCTCTTTAACTGTAAAACTATATATACTACAGTTTCATGTAATGTAATACATATAACAATAACTTGAGTTACGTTACTAGTTCACTATGAAGATAAATTTATAATGAATTTTATGATTTTTTTTCTTACAAATTTAAAGTATGCTGAAATTTCGCATTTATATATTTCACGTATTTGAATTATTAATTTTTATCAATACGGCATCTCTATGATGAATAATTGACATAATCCCAAATAATCCTAAATCACAGTCTTAAATTAAATAGCAGTAAGTAAAATTTTTTAATAATTATTAGAGGAGATAAGGAATGATTAAATATTTGTACAAAACTGCTTCGTTTCTCGATAAAATCAAAAGATATTTTATCAATAAATCGTCTTGTATTTTCTCGATAACTAAATTATTTTAGAAAACAAAATTATATACCGATTCTATCTTTTAAAAAAATTGCATTCCGGTTGCCGATACAGTCGAATTTTTATATATTTTTCTCATCGGAACAGAGAAGATTTCCTGTATTTTTTCAGCTTAAACTTAATTTTCCCTCTCCCATTATTTCATACCATTTGCTAATTGATCACATGTGCATAGAATAAAAATACGTTTTGCGTATAATCAACTTAGAACGAAAAATTCGTTTTTTTTTTCTTACTCTAAATTGATTGTGCGTGCGATAGTAATTTTGTTCTATGCCGTTAAAATATGAGGACAGATTAAAAGTACATAGAAAAATATAGAGAATCTTTTCAATCCCAAACGAAAACTATACCAAAGTTTGACTGTAATTTGCAACACTTAAGAACTTGTTAGAGAAGCCATAAGTAGCTCCATTTTGTTGAGAAAATTCTTCCCTTCCATTTTATCCCATCTAACTTCTTTGAAAGAACCTCCCAAATTCTCCCACTTCCTTTCGCGAACAAGTTGACCGGGAAAGAAATCCTTTCGGGGAGAGTGAGCAATGGCGACTTGCACACCCGTTTGCGGTTCACATCGTACAGCTATCATTCTACAAATAAAATTAAACGACGGTTAAATAACAGATGTGCACGCATTTAACATTCTTCTGTCAAATTTGAACTATAAAATACCTGTCGCCAATTGGCGAAGCTAGGATACAACTACTGGCATTTCCCAGTGGCTCCACCGAACCTAGGCCGAGGTGTGAGCTGTTTGCTAAGAATTGCCAGCCCATACACTTGGCTAGAGCTTGCACTGCGCTTATTTGATGTTGATAAATCTGCGTACAAAAAAAAATATTGTGATACCATTCTGTAGATAATAAAAGAATGTTTTTTTTATTCTTGAATTTGACATTTTTAAATTGTATAATTTTACATTTTATAAAACTTTATCGACGTTGATAAAGTGAATAAAAACTGACCTGACAAAAGATTAGATCCCTCAGTTCCTGAGGCTCGTAACTCATATGCATGACTCTACCATCGCGGCACACACATTTCAGTGACTTTTCGCCGACGTGAACGACCATCGACGTTCGGCATACGCTGTCGTATCCGTGTGTCAGGATATTTATTTTTACGCAGGACTGTGTTGGCGAATTCAACGCGTTCCAATGTGAAACAATGAGCGGATCTTTCACCTCCTTCGCTATCGTGTCCAATACGTATTCCGTGCGTAAACGCATAAAAAAATGTTGTGCCTGTTGGATAATTTGTTCTAATAGCGTCTGGCTCTTCGTCATTTCTAGAAGCTCGTATCTGTCGGCGGCAGTAGGGCCGGCTACGTATCTGCGTTTACTAGGACCGAGAGGTGCCGAGGCAGGATGAGGAAATGGATGATTACTGTTATTGTAATGCACTTCGCGCAACAGCTGATGCAGTGAGTGCTCCAATACATGATCGTGGTCTGTTTTGTGGGGTGGTGGAGCCGTAGGTTTTTTATCGTTGCCCGTGCTATGACACAGGCCAATTATTAATTGAATTCCCGGTAGTACCTAGTGTAAACATTAAAGAAAAAAAAACATGTTAAGTATATTGAAGTAAAGAATATTACATGCAAGAAGCTCTTAATTTCCGTTTGCAAGATACATACCGTGGCCATTATCTGATTTCCGACAACCATGTGAGGTATAGGCGCGCGTAAATGCACAGCCTCTCGCGCTAATTGACTAAATAGCTCCTTGCAAAATAGAACGTTTTGCGCAGCCTCCAACTTTTGCTGCCAATGCATATCGGGATTCGAATTATTCGTACTGCTATTAAGCAAGCTTATATTTGCATTGCACAAATCCTCTTGATCTAAACAAACGTACATTTTCATTTACTCGTTTGTTCAAAGTGCACATACATATATTTCTTCACACGAATCCCTTTTCTATTACCTTTCTGACATAATACTTCAATGTACGCAACGCCTTGTAACTCGCTGGGTATGGTCACGCGTAAGGCGGATGCTTTTGAGTTTGAAGGACCGTGAGATTGTCCTGATGATATATTGCTACTAGGAGACGCTGGTGGACTACTACTGCTTTTTTCTTCTTCCTCAGCTTTAGTAACTTCGAACATGCCTGTTTGTGTGTACTTGGAGCCAGCTGATACATAAATGTAACACATGAATTTTTAGTTAGTAAATACATGAATATTAAAAACACAAATTATTCTCCTAATAAAATATAAAAGAAAAAATGCATGTAAATGAGACAAACCAGTTCGATAGCTGAGGTCACCAATGATAGAGTTCGATACTTTCTTCAAACGCCAATTTTGTCGTAATCTCAATAATTCGATGTGAAAGTCGGGAGTGGCTCTGGTTCTAGCTGACAATTCAGCCTGACAGTTTCGTAGTTTTTCCGTGCCCGATGAAAGAACCGCCCCTGCTCCCGCCAGTGCCTTTTTCCTAGCGTACACTTGTATCATAGGTTTTACATCGACTGGTTCTTGAGATACCGGATCCAATACCATGTAATTTCTTTCCTTGGCTATTGCAAGTACATCGGCCAATACGCAAACTTCTGTCAGGGCATTCCTACCAAATTCAATTTGCAGTCTATACATTGTTGTTTTCAATTGTCTAATTGTAATCTTATTACATTTACGATATGTACCCCATCCTGGACACATATGGGAAAAAATCATGACAAACCTTAATTTATTCCTAACGCTGTCCCATGGCCATAAGGATGATTGAAACGAAGCAGGGTCTTTTGTGTCTTCTTCATTCTTCTCGTTACCCTCCAACTGCTCCTTCTTTACCTCTTCACCATTTGTCTTGCTAAAGTCGATCTTTTGAGCAATTTTTGCCAGGTTCTCCGATAACGTGAGAGGTCTGCAGCATAATTAGTAATGCGAACCGATACAAAATCTTATCCTTCTCGAGACAAAATGTAAGGTTAATTGCGAGGCATAAGGTGTATTTAATATCTAACGAAAATTCCATTAAATGCGTATCTTCGCTATATTCCTCGTTAACGCTAAATTTGTTTACGTACGCTTGGTAAATTTCTTGGCCATCGTAAGTGATTTCCTGTATCTGATTCTCAATCGGAGCTTCTACGGAGATATTCACGGAATACGCCATTGTTGTTTTCATACGTCCAAACCGGCGAATAATAGCATATGTCAGTGGGACTTTCTGTATAAATTGTCTAGATGGGCTACCCAGTATGACCCGTGCTGAAAGTGTGTTCCAAAATCTATAGAGTTCGCTGATTGGTTGTCATCCAGCCTGCCTGCCTAGCACGCTCTCTCTCTCTCTCTCTCTCTCTCTCTCTGTTATTATCCATTGATCTATCAACTCTACTCCGATGCAGTATGGAGCCAACTAATTATAAAGATAGAAATAAATCCATTGATCCATTGATCTCTATCTTTGTCAGTGATAAAAAACATCTCTACGGAAAATGGTTATAAGTTGTTGTGTTTGCAGAGTCGAAAAGGGATCTGTGCAGGACTTGAATTTCTCGTTTCATCGGTAACGATGATATGATACTATATGTATATCTCTTAAATGTTTCGTAAACACAAATTTCGAAAACGCTTAGACAACATAATATAGATATGTAATATGAGAAAAGTGGATTTTTATGTTTTAAACTTTTCTGCAGTATTCCGAAAAATGAAAATATGAAATTAAAGTGGTGGGAAGCTATAGGGAAGAAGGTATATCATAATGCGTATATATGTAGCAAACATTTCAAAGCAGAGGACTTTAAGAATTATCAAGATTTTAATTTAATAAGGAAAATATTAAAACCCTCAACAGTTCCTAGTGTTGATATTAAGTTAAGGTCGATAAAATTAGATATCACTGAAAATTCCTCATCTGACAAAGATGTTTTGACTGAAAACAAAAATGATGAGAGGTAAGAGGTAGAGGTGCAATTATATACATTAACATATATAATATATTTTATATAATATTATTATATAATTGTTTATTATATAATTAGTTTCCTTGCATAATTAACCAAATGGATTATTTTTAACTTTGAATCTCATCTCAACTTCAGATTTCCTAATAACAGATTGAAAGTTGATGAATCAAGTATATCAACAAGTCTCGATAATCCGACGAATAAGAAAATTGTCAGTAATAAGGCAATGTTAGGCTCTACTGCTAATCAAACAAAGGAAAAGTAATAAATCTTTTTGTTTAATAATATACACACTTTATTTCAAAATATATATTTTGTAGGATAGGGATGTATTTATATTATTTATTAATATTACTTTTCTTTCCAGGGCAACTGTAGATAATACCTCAAAATTATTAAAAAAACAGCGATATCAAAATGATATCTTAGGAGTCGTGAGACAAGAAGATTTCATAAGTGAAGATGCATGGTTAAAGTTCCAAAAGTATGTTGATAAGATTAAAAAACAATATAGAGTCTCATTGCGCAAGAATCAGAGGCTTCAACACGAAATAAACTATTTTAAAGACCTTTTGAAAAAGCAGTTATCTGACGACGTTCTGGAGATATAGAAGTAAGTTGAAAGGAAATTTTAACGTTCTTACAAGTCTCTAGAAGTCAAAATTATATATTGATAAATTATTTGACTAAAATATTAAATTAAGAAATGATATTTAATGTTTGTCATATGTTGAAACTTGTACTTTGATAATTTATGAAATTACAGATGCAGGCACCCATATGCCAGTTAATTATATGGTAATTATATGGACTTGACGACCGAAATAACTTGTGGATCGCGATATATTTAAAATGAACTTTTGCACGCTGTACAAGAATGCTTAAAAAACATGTTCATTTGTAAATTAAAAAGTAAAAGTACATAGCATCAGCTGTGCAAACGTATTTATAACCTTTTGTTAAATATATATAGTAATTCAATTTTTCGAAATTTAATTAAGCTTGCTTGCAAAACATTATATAGTTTTAACTATCAATTGTATTATACAAATGTAAGATATATATATATTAAGTAAATGCTAATTTATGCTAATGTTATGTATATAACGACAGTTATTATTAAAAGAGACCAACTAGATTTATTTTCTCAGGGTTAATAAAAAATTTGAAACAGATATATATTTAAAATTAAATATATTTGGAAAAATTTGTGATTAAAAAATGACGCCACCTGTTGTTAAAAAGGAAAATTTAGAAGCAAATATCGACCAATATCGACTGAGTAATAATCTGGTAATGAGCGACGTCAAGTTTCATTTCATGGCAGTTTCGTATTGACATTTGAATTGACATTCCTCTACCTTTCTCGTTTCGAAAATGAACATTTGTTCACGTGATTATCACCGTAATTACTCCTCTCCCGTTTTCGCAACTGAGGTAATTCTGTTGACGGTCAATAATTCTGGAATAATGTCTTAACAATGCTCTGACTTAACCTCTCTTGCTAACAACTGCCAAACTGATGCAGAAGAAAGCAAATAATTAACGAAGGATACGCGAGTAGGGACGATCGTACATACAAGTCCTCTCCCGATCTTTCGTATTGCCCAAATGGATACTCAAACAGATGTCAATCTACCGCGACCGCAAATGGCGTTGCGAAATATGAACTCTGGCAATATATTTTACATGCCTTTAACGTCGTTCGCAGGTAAACAATCACCCGAATACACATGCATTTATTTACGATCGCAACCAAATTCCATAAGCGACTCAAATTCTTATCGATTTAATTAGCAATTAATTCGATTGGTAGGCAAAATTCTCATTACATATATTGCTAGCTCGTTTGTTCTTTATCTTTAATCTTGTTTTTCACGTGTCATACAGTGAAGATTTAAGTTCCATTTGTTAACAAAAAATCGCCCTATCTGAATTTATTTGCAAGAATTATCGATCTCTGTGTCTCTATTTTTCAGAAATGTGGTATCAGATATTTCTCTGGGCTCTGTTCTCCTCGATATTCGTGCACACGATCGCTGGCGCGATTTGCTTCGCTACTTTGCGACAGCACAAATACGGCAAGTATGTAAGTTGTAGATCTCTGTCTGTGAAACGGTCAATTCACGATATTGCGTATATTCACAATATATATATCTGCAGATTCTTCCCACTGCTTATCATAATAATGGGCGTGTTATTGCCACTGACGTCGGGTGTCGTCAGCTCGGCGGCAGTTGCCTTTGTGTATAGAGCATCCGGCTATCAAATGCCACCTCTGTACGCATTGTTTTGGGGTATCGGGCAGACTGTGGTACCGGTATGCGTCGGATTCACGCGAATCTTAGCGACTTTGTAACCCTGTGTTACAAAAACTGCACTTGTGATATTTACGTGTACATATAAGAGTGGCAGTCATGTTTTTTTTAAGTTATACATATGTACATATATAGATAAGTCCATCATTGTGGGCATTTAGCTGTATCGATATATATTAGTGAGCTGATTGTAAAAATGATAGTGATCATAATATGTTACCGAAGAGATAAATTATTCGGAGAATTTTGTAACAAGTCAATGCATTTATCGCATATCGCAGAAAGTGTCTCAATCTATATATATATATATATACACATCAATAAAGTCACGGTTTCATTTTTTTAATTGTTAACATACATATTTTGTTTTATTATAAAGTACGATATTAATATTAATTGATATTATATAACAAATACATAAAATGGACTATATTACATCATTCGTATTGTACAACCATTTGTGTAACTTTCTCAGGACTTGTCGATTTTTACATGTTGCTTGAAATTGTTTGCAATATTTTTTATGTCCACCAATCCTTCCTCCAAGGCTCTGGAGGCTTCCATTTTTGCGTTTTCATCAGGAGCACTTAACAAATTAAGTACTAAGTCTGAAAAGAAACGCAATATATATTATACATATTTTTTTAATTAAATTGTATTTTATTATAAAAAGGTTCTCTTTTGAGGATCATCTTATAAATCGTTACGTACCATGGTATCTGGAAAGTGTCGACATTGTATTGGGTTCCAGCTGCTGTTGAAGAAACGCTAAGACGGTTGTCACATGTCTGCCGGACATATGTATGGCATTTTGCGTAACAGCGGTGAAAAGCAGGCTTGTAACTAGATGCAACATTAATGCGGGATCTTGCGTGGCATTCAATTCTTCTAATAGAGCTTCCCTGTGAGCGTGCACCTGCGGCCGCTCCTTCTTCTTATCGTACTTTTTCAGGACCAGACAACAAGCCACCATCGCTGCGTCGACGCTGTTCAAAAAATCTTCCACCGAATCCCCCATTACTGTCTTATGAATGACAGTTAACGGCTCCTTAACATCCGCGGGTAATTCAAGCAGCAATCTTTGCCTCGCCTCTGTCGTAAGATTCTCCGCTACTTGCAACATATTCTGCTGAGCGGCCAGTTTGAATATGTTCGTTACAAAATCAAGGCCCAGAGACTTGAGCAAATATTTGGTCAGCGAGGCTTGATCCGCTTTGTCCAAGTGTTTGATACCCTTGTCGAATATTCGAATGTTGGTTATTACGATGTTCAGGCGTTCGCCGATCTCGCTTAGATTAGTAGTCTTGTTGGATTGCGCCAATTGCTCCGCCAATGATAACGCGAACTTGTTGAGTTTTGGTTGCAAATAGTACGCCAATTCGTCTGCCATTTCTTCGATGACGGATATGTTCTCGTCTTTCGTAATTTCCGCTTTAACTTCTTCCACGGATATCAATGTAATCTCACCTTTTCGTGCAGACGACACAATCGTCGTCTGCCTCGTCTCGTCTTCGTCCGAGTCATTTTCCTGCGTTTTTCCCTGAAGGTACTTCTTCTTTGTAGATTTCGTCTTGGTTTCTCTGCCTTGACTACCGCCGCCCGCTTTACCAATCGCCGCCTTCTTCCTTCGTTCTTCCTTTTTACTCACTTTATTCTCGATGATCAAATCCGCGGATTTTGATTTCAATTTATTCTCAGCGATAGACTGAATCCATTTTCCGCTAACCACCATGTCCCGAGCCTTTTGTTCCGCTGTTGCCTCGAGGGATTTAGTTAAAGTTTGTAAAAATGCCTCAGAGACAACGACTGTCTTTGCAAATACATGTACGTTGACCCTTGTCTTCTTCATAGCTAATCTGAGAAGAAGTTCCGCGTCTTCGTCGCTAAATACAGACGGTAAAAGCGGATACAGATCAACGAAAGATCCGGTCGCAACAACCTCTTCGATATTGGCGTCCACTTGATCCGTTACCACCGTTCCTACAGCCACTGACTTTAGGAAGACCATGTTCTCGTTCGGAAAGTGGCGTTTTACAAAGCCTGATGGATCTGATATCCCGAGCCTTGTGAGCGCATCATATTCTGTAAGATGAGAATAGATTAAATTGGAACATGTTCTTAGGAATATCTTAGAAATTTTTATAAATACTTTACCTAAATATCCGTTCTGCTTGTAAAAGTTTTCAACCCACTCGTTTTGACTTTTAGAGTATATAGTAGGTATATAAATACTATTTCCGCTCTGTTTCCCAGTCACAACTCCTGGCACTTGTTTTACTTCTTGCAAACTGTCCAAGATTGCTACATGAGTGATATAATAAGATAAATAGGAAGCCTGATTATAGGAATGAATGGTACTAACAGTAAGAAAACTAAATAAAAAGATAAATTGGACTATATTTTTTTTATGAATATAACAGCTTGATATTATTAAATGTACTTTAATAATATAGAATATGCATAATATAGAAAATAATAGTCATTTATGTGAATATTAAAAACTTGCTTTTTTCACGTTACTATTTTTGTACTTACAGAAAAATATTCTTTCTGGTACGCCACATTGCCCCAATATTGCAGATAATGGCGTGGGCTTTGTGACGGCAGATAACGCGCCTTTAATTTTTGCCTTATTTTTAGCAATAAAGCTTTCGGTATAAAAAATTTTAGGATCTTGGGAGTCTTGGGTGGCATGTATTATTTTTCCGAGTTCCTTCTCGACGACCGATTGTAAAAAATCAGCCGGTAGATTGTAAGTGAGCGTTAACTCGGCCACATTAATACAGCCGTGCTGCACAAGTTTATCATTTATCTCTTCTGCAATTTTACTAATGTAGCTCTTATCAATAAGCTGGCCCAGTATCACTTTTAGCCCTTTATTGTGCTTCTCGATCTCCGTTACTGCTTTAGTTACTTGCGACAGATTAACATTAAGAATTTGCGCCAAGTCGACTAAACTAACTTTTCCACCGTGAATATACAGCTCATCCTTGATCTCCTTCCCAAGATGCTGGGGTGTAACGTATTCTTTGCCATCATTGGTAAATATAATGTCAAGAAACTTGTTTTCTACCAATGTTGTTATAATCTCTATACAATTTCGTTCCGAGAGTCTACAATATACATTAAATTACATTAGAAGGAAAATCTCATTGACATTATAATAAAATTAATTGGTTTTTTTTTCAGTACTATAAAGAAGAGTAATATGAAACACGTAAAAAATATAAATATTTGATAAAATCATTAATAATAATTACAAAAATTAATTCTTGTGTTCTTATTAGAGTAATAAAATATAATAGAATTTATCTTGAAATCATATCTCCTTTAAATCTAACAGATATAAATTTATTAACGTGTTACTATCAATACCATATGTTTAAACTTGTTTAGAACTCTTGCAAACTGTTATAATACAAAAATGCATACAAAATATACGAGTCAAGTGACAAGAATGTAACGTTTGTGATTCAAGCATGAATATATTTCTAAAATGTCTAAAATATCACGTTATTTACAGTTTGAGAATTTGTTATCAACAAGAGGGTTAGGTTAATCAGACTGGAGTAAAGAGCATCTCACTTTTGCAAGGTCGAGCTGAGCTGTGCCTTCTGAAAATCAGCAGCCAGTCGCTTGATTTCTTCCCAATCCACGCTGGACATTTTTCGATCGTTTCTCGTGCCGTTCTGAACTAACGTTAAAACTGGAGAAACGTGACGTTGCTAACATGCTCCGACAAACGTTGCGATGGTTGCGATTGACAGATTATCATATGGCACTGCGATCTGTTCTCAGTAAGTGCATTACGTTACACTTTCTACACTCAACATGAGACAGAAGTTGTATATACATACATTCATTGATACATATATATAATTACAATGAAGAAAGCATTAGTTAAAAATTAAGAACGAAATAGACATTTTTTTATAGTCTCGAAAAATTAAAGGAAGAAATATAATGTTAAATCTGATTAAAATTTACAATTAATCTCCCAGTTTTTATTTCATGCACATCGATCATACATTAGCTTATGGTATCGAAAAATTTTAATTTCTAAAAAATTCGAATTCTTTCTCTCGCAGCTTCAATTTAATTTTAGCGAATAATGATCTATATATAGTGAACGTGAAAGTTGAATAGGATTTAAATTGGCGGTCATGTCGTGTCGCACGTCGTTTCCGGTGACGGGCGGATGCGGACTCGCCTGCTCTAACTTTGCAGTCACGTGACCTGGTTGTAAGTGCATCGCTGTCGGGATCATTATATTATGACAGCGGAAACGTCAAAAGTCGCGAACGGATTGTAAACAAACTGGACCGGCGGCGTGCACGGAATATCATAGTCGCGCATCTCGCCATACGGATCTCGTTCTCGCTTCTTTTATGTACACGCAAGCGATCAAAATGCCGGTCCAGAAGGATTCGAATATCGTAAAAATCGCCGTTCAGATGACCGATCAGGTGCCGCAGCTCATCGAGTTTAATCAGAAGCAACCTTTGGCCGGAATTATTCAGGTGCAATCAATTTTATTACTACTATCATCTCATCACGTTGTATGTGATGTACTGTAATTATACAGAGAATGCATTCGGATTAATTCTCCAGTTCTCTCTCTGTCTCCCTCCCTCCTCCTCCCCTTCTCTCTCTCTCTCTCTCAACCCTTTTTAGAAACGGAGACATAAGAAATAATCTCTTCCAGTTGTTATATTGTTAGATTTCAGACATATCCTGTATAAAAAGATGATAGGAAAAGTAGTGAAATACGTGCTGACATTTACATGATAATATTTCATATTAATGATTAATGTTTTGTTTTAATTTTAGGAATTGTGCAATGGATGGGGTTTATCTGACGCAGAGTCGTACTCTTTACAATTTTCGGAAAGTAACAATCAGAACTACATTACGGAGAAAAACAGGAACGAGGTGAAGAATGGCAGTATTCTCAGATTGGAGTTTTCACCCTCGAAAACAGCGAGTGATATTTTGACTAAGCTTAATAATGGGACAGTGGAAGAGAAAGTAGCAGCTCTGCAAAAACTGAGCACACTCAGCATAGATATGACTTTTGCTTATGAATTTATAAATAAGAAAGGATTGGCATTAATTATTTCACAGGTATTACAATTTTTTTTTATAAAAAGAATATATGTGACTTTTGTTGACTGCTTATTTCTTATGTAACGATTGCTTTATCAGGTGGAAGGTGGAAAATATAAGGGAAACACGCTTGCATATTCCCTTCAATCGTTTGTGGAATTGATGGATCATGGGATTGTATCGTGGGATATATTGGAAACGCCCTTTATTAATAAAGTGGCTAGCTACGTGAATAACCAATCAGTGACTCAGGACACCAGTATTGTGGAAGCATCTCTGAGTATTTTAGAGAATATAGTCCTGAATTCAACGGGGAAATATGGACAAGTGGAGAAAGAAGTTACTTTCCCTAATCTTGTGATGCACTTGCAGTGCATGAATCCACAAATTCAACAAAATGCGATAGCTTTAATAAACGCGCTGTTTCTGAAGGCCGATCTACACAAGAGGCGAGCAGTTTCTGCTACATTGCAATCTAAACAAGTCAGGAACGTGTTTTTGACTAATGTCATACAATCCACTGGACAGGTATGATTAAATATAAGTAAATTTTTAGTTACACGTACCTTTATATCCTTTTTAAAAAATAATTAATTGAAACACAAACCCGTGTAACATTATTAGCTTTAATTAAGATTGATTTGTTTTATATATATATATATATGTATAACAAATCATTCGTTTTAATTAAAGCTAGTAATGTTACATGGATTTGTGTTTCAATTAATTATTCTTTAATGTGTGTGCACACATTAAATATAGAACTATGTCTAGCGTTTTTAACGTTGTTTTTAACGTTTCTTCTAAAAATATTCTACTTTCGGATAGGTCGGAGCGGAAATGGCGCATCAACTCTATGTACTGCAGACGCTAATGCTCAGTCTTTTGGAACAACGAATGATGGCGAAGATGGATCCACAGGATCAAGACGCACACGATAAAATAAAGGAATTACGAAGAATCGCCTTCGACACGGAAGGTGCGAATAGTGGAGATGTAGCTGCTCGCAAGCAGGGACTTTTTGCCAAAGATTACAAGAAATTGGGCTTCAAGTACGACATCAATCCCGCTCTTGACTTTACCGAGACTCCACCGGGAATGCTCGCGTTGGACTGTATGGTATACTTCGCGCGTAATCATACTGAAGCTTATACGAAGGTCGTTCTCGAGAATTCGTGCAGAGCGGACGAGCATGAATGCCCTTTCGGCAGAACAAGTGTAGAACTTGTTAAATTGCTTTGCGAGGTAAGGTAGATTTTAGAAAACACTTTAAATTATTACGTTTAATAAGGCAAGTATTATGTAAATTGGATATTAATATTATTTTTATTAGGTGTTACGCATTGGCGAGGCACCCAGCGAACAGGGCCAATCTTATCATCCAATGTTCTTTACGCACGATCATCCCTTCGAGGAATTCTACTGCGTCTGCATAGTTCTGTTGAATAAGACGTGGAAGGAAATGAGAGCGACTACGGAGGACTTTGTCAAAGTCTTCTCTGTTGTGCGTGAGCAGATTACCAGGGCGCTTCAGTGTAAACCCACAGGACTGGATAAGTTTAAAAACAAGTTGCAACAGTTGCCTTATTCGACGATCACTAATCTTTGGCAACAGGAGAGGACAAATCGGGAGGAATGGGAGAGCCACGCGAGGCCAATTGTTGAACTTAGAGAACAGATTACTCCCGAAATACTAGAGCTGATTCAACAGCAGCGATTAGGATTTTTGGTGCAGGGTACCAGATTTATGAAATACAGTGCCAGAGGACAAGTATGTGCCACTTTGACAATAAAGATACGTTTGACATTACATATGAATTTCTAATAAAGATCTCGATATTTTTAGCGGATTAAAGATAAATTCTGGTACGTCCGCTTATCGCCGAATCACAAAGTCTTTCATTATGGTGACTGCGACGAGAAATCGGTGCCAACGATAGACGAACTTCCCACAAAGCTAGCGGTAGTCGAGATTCGAGGATTATTGACCGGCAGGGATTGTCCGCATATGAAAGATTTACAAAGGCGAAAAACTACTCATCAGTTGGCGTTTTCTTTAGCCTTGGACTCCGTTGAAGTATCTAGTCTCGATTTCGTTGCTCCTGATGAACAGGTCTTCGATTATTGGACTGACGGCATTAATGCTTTACTCGGTGAGTTGTAAATTCTGTTTAAATTTTTAGCAGCAAGCAGTACGCGAATAATATTTCACTTGCTTTTTTCTTTTTTTTTTTTCAGGAAATAGAATGACTAGTAAAGAGGCTGAAAATGACTTGGAGACTTTACTATCCATGGACATTAAATTAAGACTTTTGGATGCCGAAGGGATCGACATTCCGCAAGATCCACCCACGATTCCTGAACCACCGCCAAATTATGACTTTTGCTACGAGTTAAAGTAAAAGTTGTAAGTCGTGCCCGTCTATTAATTATTACTTTCCACCGTATATCAATTTTTTATATGCATGCAAAGCCATTGATCTTTATTTGCAAATATTTATACTTTTTCTGATCTTTTGCATATATTGTTGCGATATAGATTGAGATTTCTCTCTTTAGATTGCGCAATTTTCCGTATAAAGCGTATTTTAATGATATAAAAAATAGCAGTATATATCTTTTACCAAAGAAACATTTTAAATTTTATGTATATATGCAGTTTTTTTATTATATTTTTTAAGAAATTATTTATCTACAAATGAGAATCGTCTAGGCAGAAGAATCACCGTAATCATGTCGACGATATTTTTTTAATAATTTAATTAACTTGAAAAGCTGATAATATAACCAGTCTGACGTAATATACTTTATATAATAAGATTTTTCATCTCTATTGTGCTATCAGTATTTTATATTAATCTCTATGTGAGTAAACTATAATACATTTAATAAATTGTGAGTCTTAATTTTACAAGATATTTATTGAAACATTAACTTATAAAATTCTTGATTATATCTTTGCAAGTTTGTGCCCTGGCAGCAAAATGTCGCGCGATATGAAATATGAGAATCCTTCATAAGTAGTAATATTTTTTTATGTGCAAATGTACACGTGATTTGAAAAAATAATGTATCGTTGTACACGCAGTGATCGCGCTTCTCTGTGCGAGACAAAGAGAGAGAGAGAGTGCGTAAAATAAACTAATTCAAAGGCTTAAACGTCTCCCGAATTTTATATAACGTCCTCTGAAAGAATATGATAATGCTGAAGATCGTTTGTCTGATGATCCGGCGGACAGAGGAAAAATTCGATGAAATTAAGCATGGGTCCTCGACTGAAGGGATTCAAGTACTTGCCCTTCTTGTCCCTCAAATACGAGTACCTCTTGTAATTGAACATTTCGTTGGTGGTTAAATTCATGCACGCATGTAGAACCTATTGAAAAGAAATAACGATAGAGAGTTTGCACATAAAAAAATATGATAATGCGAATATGTCGTATTCTCTACCGAGGTACACGTTAGGATCCAGCCGAGTCCGCAAAAGACGAGAGCCTCCAATACGCCGAGAACATATAAAAGTTGAATTCCCTCAATTGCAATGCAATAACACGCGAAGTATAACGTGAAAGAGCAATTTATCGCCACGCACATAACGAACAGGAAGAACCACATTCTAAAAACAAGAAGGATGTTAAAGGATTAAAAGGATTATACAATAAAAGTACGTACGTATGTACGTACGCAAATATATATCTTTTGTCGATCGTACCTGTTCCGTAGGCCAACGCAATTATATATAAATGGACAGTGATGATCGAAATATGTGACGCATCTGTTGCAAATTCTGCAGTGTTTAGCCCGAAGAGGTCTGAAACATCTGCAGCTGTGACATAATCGCGACAGTAAGACATTTCGCTTCTTCCACTTGTCAAAGTAGGGAATCTAAAACAACGCAGGACATTTACAATACATTACGATTGTTTTACAGAGATATTGCTTGTTTTGATACCTGTTTTATCGCCCTGTAGTAGGTATCGCTGTTTTGCGGCACGTAACCGGGATCTCTTCTATTAGCCACGATCCACGAGATCCACATGAGGATGTTCCAGTAAATGAAGCAATAATGACTGCCTCGCAAGAGATTCCACGTTAACGGAATGCACTTCAACAGGTACATCGGGTATCCCCACAGCAGAACGGATATCATAAACAACAGCAACGGCCCTTTGCTGTTACCTGCTCCGCCAAACAGTAGCGCCCTTGAAAGCAAAATGCGCGGGTTCTTCACATTTTGTTTCTCGCAAAATTTCTTTATTTAGAAAAGACGAGCACGAACCATAGCTCGTTAATGGGTGGTATCCATCTGGCACGGCGCTTCTGCTCCGCCTGCAGGATGCGCACGATCTCCGAGTGGCGATGACTCTTTGCCAGCTGCAGCGGCGTCTTGCCGTTTTTGTCGCGCGGCTCAAGCTCGATTTTACTCTTTTCGCAGAGGATCCGGACGCAGCTGACGTTGCCGGACAGACAGGCCAGATGGAGCGGTGTCGAGCCGAAGTAATCGGGCTTCTGCAGATCCACCCCACTGTATATCAACAGCTTGATGAGCTCGGCGTGCCCTTTGTACGCGGCCCAGTGTAACGCCGTGTCACCATTTATGTCCGTCAAGTGTCCCTGCGCGCCGGATCCTAGCAGGAAGGCAGACGTCGCGAATTTGCCAAACATGCAGGCGGTCATCAGAGGTGTCAGGCCTTTAAAGTCAGCCGCGTTAACCGCGACTCCTGCCTGAAAAAAAAAAAGAAGAAAAATAGAAACACGAAATATGAAGATATCGTGAGATGAACGCAAGAAATTCTTCGGAAATTTTCTATGTATATACCTTCAATAATAATTGCACTATCGCACTATGACCTTTCCGACAGGCCCAGTGTATCGGCCTGGGTCCTTGCGTGCCAAGGCATGGGAGATCGACGGGTCCGTTCCGTTCTATCAAATATCTCATGACCTGTTCGAAAGAAAAGGTTTTATGTTTTCTAGCGCGTTTTAATAATTTTGAGATAATGGTGGTTTTAATTGTAACACATTAATCTGCCGAAACTAACTTCAACATTGCCGTCCAAGGCAGCCCAATGGGCGGGTGTATATCCCCATTCGTCTCTCGCGCTTAGCACACTCAACCCGTTTTTCTCGACCATCTCCTCGACCACCTCGATTTCACTGCAACACAAATAATAATCCTTTTTGCATTCTTCCTGCACTATCTTTTCTCAAGCAAGTTGTTTTTTTTTTTCAGTTTTATGTGAGTGTAACTCTTCTCTTTTCAAAGTCTCACCCAGCTCTGAGCAGTTCGAAAATTTGTTTGGTCTCATCGGTGGGGCTCTGGCCAGTGGTAGCCTCGTCCGCATAGATGTCGTCAGGACGATTTCTCTGCCGCGTATCCTTGCTGGCACCATGATTCTGGTGACCGGATATCGGATTGTTCGGTAGATGCCCGACCATGTCGGGATCTGGGCTTAGTTCCCATACGGATCTTGCCGCGCCAGGCCCCGCTACAGGGCTCACAGGATACACCTGTAAAGATACGCGAGATCACGCGAGATGAAGCTTTACAAGAAAAAAACTGAAGTCGCGCATAATATAATAAATATCGCAAGTTGAGAATGGTAATATATTTTTTTCATTAATTATACGCTACGTATTTGAAGAATATCGACATCGAGATCGACATGATCCACGTCATTCACAGTTTACTATTTTGTCTAGCTGCTCCACCTTATTGTTCCATTTTCAAACATATTTAATTTTTAACGCTGAATTCGCACATTCCATTTTATATCTAACAAATAATTTTATGCAACTATATATTAATTGTACCGTCGCGGGCCGTTTTTAATTTGTCTTTTACCTTGCACAGCGTCGCGAGTTCTGTATTTGTACGCTCGTGTTCGGAAGGCGTTCTGAAGGATGCGCCTTGCGCGGCGATCGTTCCACCCTCCGGGACGGTTAGTCACAAGGAAACATTGGGCCCAACCATGTCTTCCGGGCCTCACCCGACAACGCAGCTTTTCCTCCAGACCTGAAACGGATCCGCGTCGGATTTGCACGATTGCAGAAATTGAGACGAGATAACGTAGGACTGGAAACACTTTTCTCACGCGACGAACGATGTCCGCGTTTCTGAGAATGCCACTCGGTGTTTTGCGCATTCGAATCAATAACGCGACGATGGAAACGCCTGCGTGCGAGAAACGTGTGAGAAATTAGGACATCATGTCGCGGATATCTTAAACTCGCTAACGCAAATGACCGCAGGAAAACTTTGTGTAATAAAAGCCAACTCAGAAAAATATTTCAATTATTAAAATAATTAAATCTGATGAAGAATTAATTAAAAGTTTTTTGCATATTTAATTAATGAAATTTTTTAAGGTATGAGTTTCCGATGACACCCGCGAGTTTATTCTAGCTGCGGCTGTATGTATGTATATTCTCGATATTTCGAATTTTACATTCTATTTATATATAATATTTATATAATAAGTCTGATTTTGAATGCAATTTGATTTAGTTTCATCTACTTAATTTATTTTATTTGACATGTATTATAAATTATTTCATTGCAATACATATATATATAGATAAAAATTTAAACATTTTTAAATTAAACTTCTTGATTCAAGCAGATATCTCTCGGTGTACACTTACTTTTTAAATTCTTGGATCTTAAATTATTTTACAAGTTTTCCGATTTAGAGATTTTTCATATCATATAAATCGCGTTTTCAGATTTGATGATATTTATCATTTTATATATTTTTGTATTTTATTATAAATTATTATATATTGTAATTCTTTTTGTATTAAATAAATTATATCGATGCGATAAGAACATTTTTTCAAAATAATGAAATAGCGTTTGACGTCGTGTCCAGAAATGCATTCGATGCATTCAACGCGTTGTGCGCGTTCGATATGTCAGTGGCCACCAGCAGAGTTACCCAGTGAGATATATACGAACATCTTTCACAACTCTGCGAAATTTAAAGACTAGTTTCGCAGAATTGCTTAGAGATGTCGCCGCTTTGTCACATTGACGCGCGATTCAGAAACTGCATTCCTGTCTTGTCCGACTCGTCCCTCTACTCCTTCCTCACTTCCCGTTCCATATGTTACTGTATATGTAGTGAATGTGAATGTGAATTAAACGGTATAACGATGTGGTTATGTAGCGCCCAGTCTTGGTCGTCGCTTTTATATTGTGTTATCAGTATTGAATTATTCTATTGTTGATCGCTGTAGATCGACGTATGAATTTCGCGACCGACGTGTTCACAACGTGATAAAATGGCCCCTACCATACAGACCAACAGCAATCAAGCTGACCGGGACAAACGCGCGGTCAGGCCAGCGGAGAAGCGGTAAATAAGCATGCCAGCGGATAATCTATAAATGCAATACAATACAATTGCAGCGCCCCGATTTACATTCGACTCGCGCTTTTTCAGATCCGAGCTCATATGCAGAGTGAAATATTGTAACACGCTGCCGGATATTCCATTTGACCCGAAATTCATAACTTATCCCTTCGAACCTACCAGGTGAGCAATTAGATCCTCGATCAAACTGCAGTCGCTTACATCTTTCTTGTTCTTCAATTTTAGTAATTTGTGATATCTCTAACGCAGGTTTATTCAGTACAATCCGACCTCGTTGGAGCGTAATTATAAGTACGAAGTATTGACGGAGCATGATTTAGGTGTAGAAATTGATCTGATAAATAAGGACACATATGCGGGAGATCCGAACGCTCAGTTAGATCCGGCTGACGAAAAGCTGCTGGAGGAGGATGTTCTTACACCTCAAGATTCTAAACGATCGCGGCATCATGCTAGAAGCGTTTCCTGGTTAAGACGCACGGAATACATTTCCACGGAGAGTACCAGATTTCAGCCGCAAACAGCGGACAAGGTTGAAGCCAAAGTTGGTTACAGTATTAAAAAGAACTTCAAGGTATGACCTATCATCTTTAGCATTATGCATTGATTTGTAGTATTTGTGTAAATTCCAATCTAAAATTTAAAATTATTTTCAATCAGGAGGAAACACTGTACATGGATCGCGATAGTCAAATAAAAGCTATAGAAAAGACATTTGAGGATAATAAAAAACCAATTGAAAGACACTACAGTAAACCAAACGTAGTACCTCTAGAAATATTGCCTGTATATCCAGATTTCAAGGTATTTATTGCAGTGATTGTGTTGTTTGAAAATTAATACTTTCCTTACATTTATGGTTACTCTTGTATAAATTTTAGTTATGGAAATATCCATGTGCCCAAGTCATATTCGATTCCGATCCTGCGCCAACTGGTCGATCTGTACCCGCACAGATTGAAGAAATGTCACAAGCCATGATACGGTAAGCTCTCACAGTAATTTTACGCAATGTGAAAGGAAAGCAAAGTGTGTGCATTGAAAAGAATTACATTTGCCTTGCAATTGAATTAATTTAAATTATTATTGCACAAAATGATGCTTGTCGTAGAGGTGTGATGGACGAGAGTGGTGAGCAGTTCGTAGCTTACTTTTTGCCGTTGGAAGAAACGTTGGAGAAGCGCCGACGAGACTTTACCGCTGGTCTCGACTATGCTGATGAGGAGGAATACGAGTACAAAATGGCAAGAGAATACAATTGGAACGTCAAGAGCAAAGCTTCGAAAGGATACGAGGAGAATTATTTCCTTGTGATAAGACAAGACGGGGTATGTATATACGTATATATGAGCGCACTATTACATCACGTGTTATAATTCCGTGAATTCGTCGTTAATCCACTTGTGTACTTCAGGTTTACTATAATGAATTGGAGACGCGCGTGCGACTGAGCAAACGGCGCCAGAAGGTCGGACAGCAGCCAAACAACACGCGCCTGATAGTGCGTCACCGACCGCTAAATGCCAACGAATTCAGAATGCAGAGATATCGAGAAAAACAATTGGAACCACCGGGAGAGGAGGACGAGGACGAGGAGGAGGAAGAGGAGGAGCAGGAAAATCAACAAGAGGAGAAAATAGACGGGAAAGATATTCCAATTAAAGGTTCGTTTAATATATGAATAAAATAGACAAGATAGACCGTTTATCGTTCACCGCTCTGAAAATTTTTCCGATAACCAGAAAATTTGTTCACAGGTTCCGAAGCAGAGAACGAGGAAGGATCGCGTGCCTCGTCGAGAGCGTCCTCGCGGGCGTCCAGCAGAAGATCGAGGTCCCGCTCGCGATCTCGTTCCAAGTCCGGCTCAAGATCGCGATCAAGGTCGAGGTCCAGATCGCGTTCGCGTTCGCGGTCGCGATCGCATTCACGTTCACGTTCACCATCCAAATCTAGATCGCCGTCTCGATCGCGCTCGCGTTCCGAGTCGCGTTCGCCGTCTAAATCGCGCAGTAAATCGCGATCTCGGTCTGGCAGTCCTCAATCGAGGAACACATCGAGATCTAGATCCAAGTCGAGATCGCGCTCGGGAACGCCTGCGAAGTCACCGTCGAGATCTCGGTCGAGCTCGCGGTCCAAGTCCAGGTCCCGGTCAAGGTCGAGATCCGGTACCGGTAGCGGTAGCGGTTCCGGTAGCGCGACCGGCGAAAGCGGCTCCGAGAGCGAGTGAATCGAGAAACGCGATCAAAAATATTAATGTAATTAATTTCAATGTCAATCATTTCCATCTGAATCATTATTTCGACGAATGTTTATATCATCGCTATTTGAAAATATTTCGGGTAACAGTCCCGCCGAATAACAGAATATTCGTATGTTGAGCAAACATTAATTCTTTGATGGTAGTCATATATAGCGAGTATCATCATTGCGTCAGGGTGTACGAGTTTTCGGCGGAACGAAAAATAAAGAAATAATTTCAAAAAAACATTTATATGAGCAAAATATGTATATTTTTTTAATGCTAACTGAAATAATCGTTTCTATGATAATCCGCAGGTAATCCACATATCACATTTCCAAAACAGATTGACTAATGTCATGATATTTAATTCTACGATACATATAGGTACGCACATCTCGGAAAATAAAATTAGAACGCGCAAAAAAGATAAGGGGAGTTATATTTCAAAAGTTTTCAAGCGACAACATGTGTATTCCAGCGCGATAAATCGATGATAAATCTCTTAATTTTTATTGTTTCCTCCCCGCCAATAGGCGTTCATTTCGATTCGAAATGTAAACTGTATGAAACGATAAAAAAAAAAGAGACGAAATTGATATATGATGATTTCATTTATCGTACAAGTTTTTTGATGTCGCGCGAGAAAGCATTTGGTGTCCCCAAAAATTTTGCCAATTATGCTCGAAGAAAAATTTGAGAAATGTAACTGCTCTCAGGATAATCCGCCATCTTGCAACATAGTTATCAACAGTGCAGTCGGAGTGCGCCACACGTACCGTTGGCGTCGCGTAGCACTTGCGAGAGGCTTGCGAGGATACACTCGTGTATTGCGTCATCCCCACGACCTATCCGAATGAACGCGTCGATGCCGACAATTGCCGAAGGGTACATGACACTGTGACAGTTTCGCGCCGAGGTGCCACTATCCGTGCCGAGGCTACGCAGAGGCGAACGAGGTGATTCAGGGAATTGATTCGACGAAAGGTACGAAGCGTTGGGAATAGATAAAAGAAGTGGGAAAGAGAACCACGTGGACGAGCATCCCGTCCCGTGTCGCGATAGCGAATGCACGTGCCTCGTGCGTGGACACGTATATTACGCCGTCTGATCGGCGCATATCGGGTTGTTTGCGATTTCAGCTCCGGAGTATCACTTTGCTCGTTTTGCTCTCTTTCTCTCTCTCTCTCTCTCTCTCTTCTCTACGCACATAATACATATGTTTAATCAAAAATAATATGTATATTCAAGTAATCAAGTGCCAGAGAGGCGCATCAACACGAACAGATCGATATATGCGAAACTTGGACGTACAGGTTAGGGTTGCACGCGTTGCGACACGTTGCGCGATACTTAAAGATACTGCCTGTAATAAATTTGTTTCGTATTTTAGCACATTGAATTTTGTTCAGCGACGTAGGGAAAGGAGGGCTGCTTCGCATCGTATATCGTATTGTACTCGTTTGGATATTTAAATTCGCCATTTGGTACAATCGCTGAAACTTATCGCGTATGCTGAAAACATTGACCCTGAGAAAGCGCGCTAATTGCTGCGCGCTATCTCGCTCTTTCCTAGTTCCCCCCCCCTCTCTCTCTCCCCCCCTGCACCGTCTATTCATCCCACCGCGAGGCGCGAGGTAAACAAGTCGATGACAGATGATTTTATGTCCGTATTATCGTGCGCCGAGCATAATTTCGTCGCGCGTTCCACGGGAGGAACGGAACAGAAAACCGCGCGAGAACGGAATGCATCCGTTCGGATTCCTCGACGATGGTATCACGGGCTGCACGGGAACCGAGACCGGCGAAATCCCGGTGAGTTGACATGATCGTTACGCGTGCTGACGAAAGTTGAATGTCGACGGGTGAGAATTGAAGAATCGCGCGAACACGCGGCATGAATAAAATAATAAAAGAATAAACTCGTCAAAAAAATAATTAACACACGCACGGCTGTTTTCCGTTATACGTAGCATAATTACGGCTCGATGTTTTTCGTTTATACGTACGTGACGGAGCGCCGTGTATAACGCACAAGCGGTCGGTCGATGATGTCAGATTTATATAAGAGTTTAATGTTATCAATTCGCGGAAACGAGCGGGCGCGATTGTAACGCTAACAATGCGTGAGTGAAATCATTGCGAGGTAGATCTTTGTATTTTTTTAAGAAACGCTCCAAAGAGCGCATCAGCAGGTTTGTCAAGCGAAACAGTCTCGAGTGTGCGATCCTTTTTTTTATTTATGACGCTGCGCAATAAAATCAGATTTGGAATATTTTAAATATATTACGTCACATGTACGTCGTAAAATTATAAATATGTCATAATGGCGGCAAATGGATGCTATGATTGATCAAACATGTCTATCTATTTATATCTCCTTAGATGAGATATGAGATTTAGAAAAGTACAAAGTATTATCAATGTAGGATTTTAGTTTAAATCAATTCTATCGCAGCGCAGCTGATGAAAATTCGACGTTTGCCCGCGAGATGGTCTTTAATTTTTATGAGCCGGCCGTCTCCGCGAATCGCGATCAAATTTGTGGTCCCGTCTCGCGAGACGCGCGTCACAATGAAATCCCGTTTGCGGTTTTCGAATTGAGGCTGTGCACGCTGGCTATGCGCGAAGATGTCAGGGCCGGTTTCTTAACAGCGACCTCAAGGCCTTATTGAGTAAATACGGAGCACATTGGCGTTACGCGACTGGCACAAAGTTAACGTAACGACCGGCTTGTACCGGACGTTGAAACACCGATATCAATATTTGTCACGCATCTACTTCTAGGGATCGCGATTGGTGTGACGCGGTTGAGTAATCGTAGCGTTTCGTAGCATGGAAAAAAAAAAGATATATTGTAATACGAAACAGAAAGGAATAATTAATTAATTATTCCTTTTGGCTACCATTTTAATTTTAATTTGTAAAACTTCCCGGTTCTTTAATCATTTGAAAATTTGCCATACTAACAATTTGTCTTTGCATGTTAATTTAGATGGCGCCGAAAAATAAAGAAAATAACAGCAAACGAAAAAAACAAATGGAAGACGAGGGCGATGAGGACTATCGAAAGCGGCGGGATCGGAATAACCAGGTAATTTGTCAGTTTTGCAAATGTAAATTGTACATGTTATTTGCATATGCGTACTATCATCGTTATTATTCTCACGTTTCCCACAGGCTGTGAAACGATCCAGAGTGAAAAGTAAAATGCGCACGCAACAAACCTTGGAACGAGTAAATCAGCTGAAAACAGAAAATGAATTGTTGGAGGAGAAGATTAAAATGCTTACCAAGGAACTTGGGTTTCTGAAGGATCTCTTTATTGCTCATGCAGGTATCGTTAGGACAAATTGTTAAATCTTCTAATCTCATAACGCGTTTGCAATCTATCATTATTATATAATTTCGTCGTTACCTTGTGTTTTTTTATCTCTGATATAACCTAAATAATATTTATTATTTGTTTAAAACACATTTTATATTAGGGGAGTATGTAACCCATTACATATTTGGTTATTTTATTTTTAGGAGGTTCCAGTCAACACTCCATAAACATCCAAGATCTAGATCTCAATGCTCTCCTGGCAGAAGAAAAACCCACGGAAGATTCGCTAAAGACGACTACCACCAAGCTGTAGATCTATACGAACTCCACGTGAAGAAATCAACGTGGTATTAAATTTGTAACGCGAGACAGATATTCTGGCTCGTTCGACCGAAACAGCAAGTGAACGTCTTGGAAAGATGTTCCACTTGAAATTCATTGTAAAAGATTCCAGATGCGAAGAGCGTTTTTCGAACGCAATCCTTTGAAGTTACAGCATCGTCAGTGAATTATCACCAGCTAAATTTACAACTTATTAAAAATTAATGGAGGCGAGAGTGCGAAACGTGGTGGAACCGTCGACGAAAATTTGCGATAAATTTGAGTTGAAAATGTTCATTTTAATCGTTAATCAATAGAGATTAATTAATCTTTGATCTAAAAATGATGACAAATGAAAAAAGTCACTGATACGTACATGTTGCAGATATTAGAGCATTATATGGCACAATTGTATCTTGTGTAATATTCGCGCCTTTCGCGAGATGTGACTTTACTGTGACGTACATACGAAAATAATTAAAAGAATTTTCTTTTAAATACATACCGAATAATAAATTATTAAGATTATTTATTTTATTAATACAAATAAATTTTATTAATGTAATATATCAAGGTATAAGAAAAAAACTCTTAGATATATTAATCTTTGTGATTATCATCAAAAATGTTTTTATTTTTGAGAATTTTTCATGTTTGTATCAAACGACTGTTACATTATTAGACACGGTGACAAAATAGTTTTAGAATTAATAGTAACAATACATTTAAACTCTATTAAACAGATATTCGTAAATGTTTATTTAAAATTACGAAAGTAAAGACATTTTTGTTTTAACTATACTGGTACACAAGTGTATTGTAAGAAATTGCTTGAAATAAAAGTCTCTCTCTTTTTATCAATATCTATTGGTATATAGTAATAGCTAATTAAAATAACGCAGGAGAATTTAAAGGAAAAAAATTAACTAAATCTGCTTGTAATCAGATTCTTCTAACAATTGTACTACATTTGAGTAATTTAAAGAGCGAGAAAGTTATTGCGAGTTTGAGATAATCTTATTATTATTAGATGACGAGATGATGAAATTATTTTGTCTTGTAACATTTTAGTAAAGTATGGATTTTTCATATGTCGCCGAGGAAGATAATCATACGCGATTAAATTGGCGAACACTCGGAAGGCCGGAGGGTCGTCGACGGCACCTGTATGCTTCGATACTTGCGACCGAAAAGACCCGATCGATCCTCCGCTAGTGTTCGTAAAGCGGCACGAACGTCGCATCGATTGAACGAGCCCTGAAGATATAAATTCTGTATTCTGAAATCGTTCCTGCGCGTTTTTCCTCTCGATGAAAAATGTTAGATTTTCAGCGACTGAGGATACTAAATCTTTTTGCAAGGTAAAGTGAAATCTAATTATAACAACGCGGAAGCGACATTATAGAATTCGAAATTTATATTTACTCTTGAATATGTTGTTATCCTGTGAAATATTCAAAAGTCAGAGCAGCGAATTAACGATTAATTAATAAATTCTAATTTAGTATCAAGGCAGAGCGCGCTAAAAAGATTTCCGAGGAATATAAAAAGATAAATATCACTGAGTTTCGACGATGACACCGGTGTCTGAGTGTAGGGAGGGCATCTCGAGTTCCGCGTACACGCCTGGGTCTGTAGCACGGTGGGCCGTCGCGCTGATGGCCTAGCAGACGACATGTTGGCTGCAAGGAGTACCTCGTTTCGAACGTTTCGGCCGCGAGTTTCCTCGGGGGTACTTGAGTGAGGAGAGACAAACGCGAGCTCGCGAGCTGAAGAAACGCTGGTGGGCGAGAGAAAAGCCGCGGCGAGGGCGCGAGACCTTTTCCTTCGAGAGAGTAGAGTGCATGTGTAAGGACGGCGCGAGAGAAGGTTGGGAAAGGGGAAGGTACGCGAGGGTACGTGTTTCCCCAAGTGTTGCTGCTGCTGTTACTTGTCGACCTTGTTGTGATCGTCGACGAGAATCTCGTGGCGGCAGCGGAGAAGGAGGGAGGATAAAATAAAAGAGCGCGAATGCTGATGAAAACGAAGTGACGGGGAAAGAGACCGGAAGCCCGAAAAGAGCGAGCTCTTGGAAAGGACCGAGGAGCTCAGGACATTGAGGGAAGAGCTAGCGCGAGCGAGAAGCGAGTCTCCGGTAAACATTCGGAGTTACGTCTCGCGAAAAAAGATCTCTTCGAGGACGAGATCTACACAGGAGAGGAGAAGAAGAAGAGGAGTTGGCGTCGACGAGAAGCGTGAGAAGGAAAATCACGAACAGCAAGATTAGAGCCGGAACAAGCGGTTCGGAGCTGATGGCAGCTGATGGTATGACTGAAGAATAATCCGATAATAGCCCCTTGGCAGTTTTCGGCGAGGTACGCCGATCGCCATCTCCTCGACTACTGCTCGACTTGTGCTTGTACTTGGGTGCAATCCGATCCGAGAGCTCACGAGTCGATCTATTTTAACGTCTCGTCGTTGTCGGCGTGTTGTCTCCACCTCCATCTCCGCCGCCGTCGAGTCGAGTCATCACCGTCACCGTCACCGTCGCCGTCATATCGGTGGAGTAAAGAGTAATAGTCTCCGATCCGATTTGCATCGAGGAAGCGAGACGAGACGAAGCGAGATCGGAGTCGGACGGCCGTGTCCCTTTACTAATAAATCGGATTCGCGTGTATATATCACTCTCTCCTTCAATCTCTCCCTCCCTCCCTCCCTCTCTCGCTCTCCTGTCGTCCCTGTCTCTCGTGCCGGCCGTATCGCCGGAGACGTCGCGGCGAGGGAGAGAGAGAGAGAGAGAGCGAGAGAGAGAGAGAGAAGGAAAGAGAGAGACCGAATCGCACTGCCTCGCGCGACTAACAGAGAGGCAGTGTCGCGTCGACGTATCGTCGTGCCGGCTGTTCCGCGTGTTTTTCCTACGTGCGGGCGTGCGTGCGTGCCGCGCGTACGCTTTCTCTGTCGCGGGACTCGCGGGAGCTGGAGCAACCTTTCCGGCGCGCCACAGCGCCAACGAAACACAGATTCGCGCCGTGTCTCGGTCGCGGTGTAGCGGCGTCTCGTCGCCGTCGTCGCCGTTGTCGTTACACCCCACCAATCGTCGTCGTCGCCGGGTCGAGCGCGAGGCGCGAGTGTCACGCGCGTTTGCCTGTCGTGCGTGTCCTGGACAGCAGCGCCCAGGAGACGAGCGGAGACGCCGGGCTCCGGTCGCGACGTGCGCCGTCACCGTCATCGTCGTCACCGTCGACATTGTCGCCGCACTCCGCAGTCGTCGACACCCCGCCGACCGAGACGTTCGCCGCGACCCCGGCCCCCCCCCGCTCTCTCTCTCTCTCTCGCTCCGATGTGAGCGAGCGAGAGAGGTGGTCGGCGTGCAACACCGCGAGAGGGAGGGAGAGAGAGTGAGCGCGACACAAGGTTCTCTCAGTCGCCCGGCGAGCGGAGCGCCGAGTTCATGGTGTGTGGTGGTTATGGTTCCGCGGGCAGTGGAGGCCGTCAGTGATAAATGCAGCCGTGAAGTGTACTCGTGAGTGCCGCGCCAGAGAGGAGATACACGCGTGCGTAATACGTCGGACGTGTACGTGTACGTGAGAGACGGACAAACAACGAAGCGCCAAGTAGTCGTCTTCGTTGTCACTGCCGTTGTCACCACCGTCACAGTCGCCGTCGCCGTCGCCGCCGCTGCCGTCGCCGCCGTCGTCGTCGTCGTCGTCATCGTCATCGTCATCGTCATCGCCGTCGCTGTCGCCGCTACCGCTGCCACCGCCACCACCACCACCACCGCTGCCGCCGCCGCTGCCGCTACCGCCACGAAGTAAACGGGAAAGAGGATCGAAGGGAAGAAACGCGAGGGAAGGCGGTGAGAAATAGAGCGAGAAAAGTTCCCTTTGACAGAGACGAGATCATCATCGCCGGTCTTCAGTGTAGCGGAGAGAAAGAGAGCAAGAGAGAGGGCGAGCGAGAGGACGAGAGAGAGAGAGAGAGAGAGAGAGAGAGAGACGTCGATCGGCCGAGGAAGCGCGCGGAGACCGCAGCGCGCGCGCGCGCGCGCGCGCGGGGGCGGTCGGGCAGGCGAACGAGACACCCGATAGAGCGAAACCGAGACGAACGGAACGGCGGAATCGGAGGACGGCGGACGGCGGGATTCGCGGAACGGGAGCGAGTGTAGCGCGCGTACCGCGGCGGGATTCGGGGCGCTTTTCGAACGGCGGCGGACCCGCAGCGGTAGCGGCGGCGGCGCGGCCGGAAACAACGACGACGACGACGGCGACGTCGTCGCGGCCGCCGACGCCGGTCGCACGGTCGCCCTCGCGACTAACTCGATCGCGGCGGGCCGTCGTCGTCCGTCCCCATCCGTATCCCGATCGTCCTACCTCTCGCTCAATTCCGCCACCGCCACCGCCGTCTACTCGACCCGAGAACCCCCCGACGGGCCTGGACCGTTAGACGTGGAAGGGAAAACGGTGAGGGCGAGCCACGCGTGTCCTTCCCGTGGTGTGTCATGGGGTGTTTCGGCAGCCAGAACAAGGACAGCCAGGATGAAAGCAAAAATCAGAAGAGACGATCCGACGCCATCACCAGACAGCTGCAGAAGGACAAACAGGTCTATCGGGCCACCCACAGGCTACTCCTGCTCGGTGAGTTATAATGCAATCATTCAGCTCTTTTATTTATTGATTTGTTTTATTTGAGAGTGATCGAGCGAAGAATGCATTAACGTAAGTCGTATTTCTCAATCTTTCGACAGTTTTGTTGATCGAATAATTTTTCCACAGATGTATATCGATTGTAATTCGGTCGAGTGATATTCTTGGGATTCGATTTGACCGCAAGAAATTCAGCGCACCCTTAGTTGCGGAAACGAGCGTTCATGCTCCTTCTAAGGTCGAATTCAGCGGCGCTTTTTAATTTCACGGGATGCGAAAAGGCGCGTCAAGTTTTTTAAATTAAGATGGACCACGAGAGTAGAGAAATCATGAGGCGGAGCTCGGGGATAAATCTCGCTTTGGGGACCCGCGTGCTCCGAAGATAATTCTCCCGTTCAGCTGCCCTCCTTGTCTCGTGGCATCCGCGCGTTCGTGAAACGAGGCGCGTTAAATAACGGACAAGACCCAATGGCCGTCGGTGATTGTCGGTTTCGGACAAAGAAAGCCTCCGCGAAGCCGGGGGTGAAAGCCGACCGACCGACCGCTATCGCGATGTTCAGCGGCGCGTAATTCAATTTTATCGATTATCGTACGAGCAGGCACCCACGAATATCCACTGGCCGCCTCGTGTTTATACCCTTTTCGTCGCTTCCGATCCTCTTTCGCCTTTTTCTTTCTTCTCCCTTTCCTTTTGTATGTATGTGTGTGTGCACACACATATACACACAGAAGATATACATATATATGTATCTTTCTCCTATTATCTCGTTTCGCAGCTGTAACTCACAATTCTGCTTTTGCGCTTATATTATATCGTTATGCCTATATACAATAGGATAAATCCCTCTTTTTTTTCTCTTTGATTTTTAGATATATTTAAACGAGAGTTACATCTTTTTAATACGTTTAATAAAATTTAGCGTTTAATACTTATGTTATTCGCCACAAATGTTTCCTGCCACAAAAGTTTATTTCTTATATTATTTTGAGACAATATTTTTTTAATCTATTTTTCTTTCTTTGGATTTTGTTCCGTACATCTCTCTCATCGAAGCTTTTTTTCAAACAATAAACTGAACCATATAAACTTTTCCTTTTTTTTACTTCCTGCTTCTCTGATGTACGCTATTGGTTTATGATAATCGATTCTATAATTTTTATTTTATTATGTTAACATAACCTTTTGTGACACATACTCATAATATTTATATTTGTAGTGAGTACATTTTGAATTCTAATAATTTTATATTGCTTTTTACTTTTGGCACTAGAATTGTGACTATTTTTTACCCATCTAATAATTTTTTTGCTAATATCGTTGACTATAGTTATGCATAGATTGAGTTATTAATAAAAGTATAATGTTTAGTTACCACTTTGTCTATCTGTCAAAACAATTATAAAAGAATAATATGAGTCATAAATAATCTACTAGCATCCTAGGAGAAGGTGTACTCACATCCTAGGCAATTCTAGTGTTAAAAGGAAGTTTTTTCTCAGATTCTCTCTCTCTCTCTCTCTCTCTCTCCCGCATTTCACATATATATTCCTCTTTTCATGCCGATACGTGCTTGCGAAAAACATTGACACAGCGTACCTATTTAGCGCGACGTTTAACCCAGCGCCCCGTTCATATTCGCCTTCCTATTATCCGGCGTTTATGTAGGTCGTCGTTCTAATTCGATGCGAATGCGTCGTCATCGTCGTCGTCCTCGCCGTCGGCCGTCGGCGGCGCGGGGTGGAGGGAGGGGGACGGACGGAGCAACAGCTGTCGCCGTATTGTTTCCTCCTCGCGTATCATTACGACCACGCGAAACCCGTGGCCGATTCGATTCCCTACTACTCTTGTGTCGTCGTGTTCGCGACTTTGACAGGAATCTTAGAAAAAAACCTAAAGCCAGAATAAACGATTAAACGCATAATCATATCTGGCGTACGTAAAATTAAACGATCGATAGTATAAATAGCGGAAGCATTGCAAATAGATGTATAGCGTGTAACTTTTGTTTTTTCGAAACAAAATATTCGCGAAACTTTATTTCGTGATTTACTTAATAATCGAGGCTTGTAATCGAGAACGCAATTATGCTACTGAGAATTAGAAGATTTCTCGGATAAACTTTTGCAAACTTGTCGTTCACTTGATTTGCGAGTTTTTTTTTTTTAACTAGAATTCGAGAGCGTCAGGAGTTTATTTAACGTTTGAAAAGTAGCGCGTGTGTTAAATGTTATATAAAATGTGGAAAACGGCATGCACGTAGAAGTATTAAGAATACATGTTGATATAGTATTTTTAAATTACGCTAAATCGCAAAAAGTTTCAAAGCTTGCTACTTCGTTCGCGCGGCTGATGTCCGAGAGATCAAAAGAATAGTTTAATTAACCTCATTGCGATCTAGATCACGATCCCGCTCACATCACTCGGAAATCGTCCCGGTTCATTTTATTTTATGTTAGAGCCGAACTTTAATCCGCGGATTTACGCAGCGCGTGAAAATGGCGCGTAAACGCGCATTCTCGTCGTGCATTCGCGATCCTTAAACCCATGGCACGATGCCTTATCGCGGGCGATCGATAACTATATATCCCGGTTGATAAAATCTCAATTCTGTGACCAGCATCGGGCAACGGGAGATATTCTTTCGCGCGTTATATTACATCACGCGGCAAATCCCGCGCGGTGCGTGAGCTGAGTGGCTGGCAACAACCACATCAGCAACAAGAGAGATTAATGCCAGGGAGATTAACGTCGACGATTTTCGCCCTGTTTCAGGAGCGGGAGAGTCCGGCAAAAGCACGATCGTCAAACAGATGAGGATACTGCACGTCAATGGTTTCAGCGAAGCGTAAGTTTTATTTAAAAAAAAAAAATGGGCAAACGCGTGCGCCGATCGGTCGGTCGCGTCGCGTCTCATCGATTGGCCGTTCTCGCTCGCTCGGCCCCATCCGTTCCAATCCGGCGATGTGTCGTTAACCCATTAAAGGAGGGCCGTAATCTCTCCTTTGTTTCCGCGAGGCTTTTCATCGCGAGGCTCGCATTACAATTAAATGTCAGCGGAATGCGATCGTACTCACGCAAGCCGTTTACGAAACGCGAGGCCACCGTGCGCGATACGTTCATTGAATTTTGCCGTAGAATCTCTTTCACTGTATAAAACAGCTTCGACTCGCGAGTCTCGAGACAGTTTCCGAGAGGCGAATCATAAAATATGGCTTTTGTGGCTGAGACTATTGTCAACGCTATTTCTAGTCCTTCTATTTGTGGCGACGCGTTAATCTTCTCTCTCGGGATTCTTTTTTTTTTTTTCGACTTAAACCGAATCTTCGCGAATCGTTCGTGAGAGAAATCGCAAAATGTAGCGCAATTAATTTTTTAACGCGTTCTACGAATGATTCATCTCATAACCGGTTCAAGATGCTGTGTCGGCGATATATCAACACGTGGCTGAGATGCGGATTCGTTATTACTATTTCCTTTACTATTATCCGCAAATATACGACGCATTCATCGTGCTATCTTTACTTTTCTTAATATCTGATTAAACGGTATCTTCGAAATGCATTTCTTTTGGGATAATCTCATTTCATATTTTTCAAACTCTTTTCTCGTTTCAACGAAGCGAGAAGAGTTTTTTTTTTATTTAACAGTGTTTTTCTTCGATACGATACTGTCTCTTTTTATTTTTCATTTTTATGCGTCCACAACTCTACATTTATTCCATATTTCTAGACTGCTAATTTCCGATCTCATGATTACGATAATCGTATATTTTATTTCACTTGATTTCTTCGATATTTTGCTAATACGTGATAGAATACAGATCTTTCATTTTCAAGGAATCTCGTACATTTCAATATTTCGTGTATTCTTTTCAATCTTTACACTCGCAATAGAACATATATTAACGAAATTTCCGTCAAGCTAAAGTTATTTACATATGAACTTTCGTGTATTACTCGTGAATAAAAAGAAAAATAGTAGATACATTTACATCCTCGAAATAAGATGCTATTTTTAAAGATATCTGCTGTATGTATAGATAATCATATAGGCAATTGGATACGATGATATTACCTGAATAAATTTGTTGATTTGTATGTGTAAATACTGCTAATCGTTTTAAACGAAGCAGAAAGGTGCCTTTTATTTTTATATTTTTGGCGATATAATTTCTTTCTCAATCGGTTTTTTTTATTTTGCGCGCCACAACAAGTTCTTCTTAATTTCTTGGGTGTCGAATCTCTTATGTTAGTTTATTCTGTGGATGTCTCGAACAAGAGGGTTTGTCTTTTCAACCGGGATCTTTGAAAACAGACAGTTCCAGAAATACGCATTATTGATCGGCCATGAGTTCTCCAGCGAGTTCTTTTAAACGCGTGGTAGTTGGCCGTGCTAAAATTATCGAATTGGTCTGAAAATACCGATAAAAGAACACACGGTCTGCGCTGTCGTTTCATTCAGCTCGTGACTCGATCATTATTGCCGATCGACTGCTCGACCTACTCTTACGCTATACTACATCTGTAACAATACGCATTGTTTAGTCGTAATGCTGTTAGTCACATTTAATTATGCGGTCAACAACGAATTGGCGTCGGGTTTCTAACAACACTAATGTCTGACGTATCTTTGTGTTCGCAGGGAAAAGCGGCAGAAGATTGAAGATATTAAGAAGAATATTAGGGACGCTATTTTGGCAAGTATCACTTTACATATATTTTTTCACGTAAATATTTAATCACTATTATATGAAAATTAAAATCAAAAGGAAGAGAAGTTGTATAGTTTGGCAAGTGAGTTTAGTTGGAAATTATTTATCGAGCGATTTTCTCTTTTTTATACATTTTTTTTATCAAGTTGTACTAAATATGTATAAATCATTGCGCTCGAAATAACACGCGACATAAACATTATGTGACACGCAAATTTGCGATATCAAATTTAGCTGTGTTAGAACATTGTCATTTGTGCCATTCAGGCTCGTGTTTAATCGCGCGCGCGCGCGCGATTCTGTTTTGCCCTTCAGGCAAAATACAATCACTTCCGTACACTGCGTTGACGCAAACGGCGCTACCTCCAACGATTTCTTGCATATGGAATTCTTACGAATTAATTATAACAGCATGATAACTATTACGGCGAACCAATAGTTACGATAAAAAATAAAAGCGATTCTAGCGAGAATATTACAGGTGTTTTTTTTTTTAAAGAATACATTTACATCATAATTTATCACGTATCTCTTATTATTAATCAGTCTTATTATCTCTTATTATCTAGAAATTAATCGATAATCCTTGTTATACGATACACACACGATTTTTAAATCAATAATAAATGCATAGCAATGTGGATACATATATGTATATATATAGATAGGATAATATAGACGATTGGATTAATAAAAAGGTGATATAAATAATATTTTATTTTTACAACAGATTGTATTAATAACGTATTAATAACATATATTTAGAACATATATTTAACGTATAAATTCTAACATGAACGTATAAATTTCAACAAAATTGTTATATCTACAGAAAAAAATGTTTTGGGGAAGATATTTCTTTTATTATTAGCCGTGCACGATGAAAAATAAAAGAGACACGTCGCTTCTTTTACAGACGATAACCAGTGCGATGAGTACGTTAACGCCGCCCGTTACACTGGGGGATCCGTCAAACCAGAGTAGAATGGACTACGTCCTGGAAGTCTCGTCTTCCCCAGACTTCGATTATCCTCCGGTGAGTCAGCCTGTTTGCGTTGTACAATGCGTTGTATTTCCCCGCTCGCGAAGGTAACTCATCGACCTTGCCGAGAAATAGTCGTAAGAAGAAATCCCCGGGCCAATCTTCAGCATGATTCAGCGTCACGTGAAATTCGTTTCTGAACACGGTTAAATTCCATCGCACGCTAATTCGGTCGGAAACGAAAAAGGATACGCGACTAAATTGGCCGCGAACTTTCCCTTCGTAAATTTCGCTCGTGTAATGTTTAATGAGTGCACTTGATATCTCGTTCTCTTCGTATTAATCTCAATCGTTTCGCGTTACAATTTTGCAGTAATTAATTTATAACGTTATATACCGACACACAAAGATGATATAATAAATTGTTTAATAATTTGTCTTCCGTAATGTAGATTGTTTTGTCGCATATATTACGCGTTTACACACAATACTTATTGGAACAACTCGCGCGATTACTCGATATCGTTTAGCGACACAAGCCGCGCGCGTAACAGTTGTGGCGTAATGGGCGACGGCGGCGACGAAATTTTCTTAACGATCATCGCGACGACATTTCTTCGCTATCTCGTTAAACCGGCACCGACGCACATCTGCGGATTAACGTAACGAGGCATGCAGACATACACGTATACGTGCATGTACGTATGGACTCTTTACGTGAGAACCACTGCATGGCACGATCAGTGTTTACAATGTTTACACAGCCACCGCACATGTTAGTGCGCTATATAGTGTCCTGTACTACGACGTGCTGCGCCATTTCTCATGTACGTATGTACGTATGTGTGTACGTACGTATACACGATATCTCTCAATTGTGTCGCTTGCAAATTCATGCGATCATTATATACTCGTATGTAACGGGAATTTACATCGATCGATGCGAATTCTCTGTCCCTTTAAGGGATTTCACTGCCGAGTCTCTCAATAAGGGACAATTGTGCTAGATAGCATCGTAAAAAGTACTGCGATTTATGTGTCTATCGTACATATACACATATACATATAGAGTGACATGTCAAAAAAAGTTACGACTGATAATAAAGTAGATATTTGACGCAACCAAGTTAATTAATTAATCATCGATTGATTTACGTTGTTATACAGTTAAACTTGTACTTATAAATGCATTCTTTTAAGAGTATTTGGCTGAATTCGTTACGGTGTTTGATGAGTTGCTTCAGAATTTCCGATTAAGGTACTCAGGGGATTATCCGGAGACACAGTATTCGGGGATGAGATATCGCGAGAGGAAAAAGCGCGAGAAGCGGATTCGAAACCGCACGACATGGCTCTCGAAATAAAATCGTCGCGACGAAATAATCCGCGCGTTTTGCGTCATTCAGTGCGAGTCGCGACGTAAACGCGCGGCGTTACGCGCGTGTACGGTGCATCACCTTTGCCAGCGGACGCCAGAGCGGCCCATTATTTGTTGCACGTGGCTGCATTCGTTTGTTGGTCGATGATGCATTCGGATTAATTGAACTAAATCGTTTTGCGCCAAACGCAATTCAGGCTCTCGAACCCGCGTTATGCTAACGCTCGTGATTCGCACAATATTTACGATTGTCCGCAAGACATCACGTTTGTATCACTCCGACAGTTTCCGGCACTACTTTCAGATCACAGGCGAGGTAATGAATTGAAGGATATTTGATTCTTTCTTTTTTTTTTAGAATTCGAGAAAATTAATCAAATTGAAAACATTTTAATTTATCTAATCAAATTATTTTTTTCTAAGAGCGCCGTTGCATCCAAGTCTTTAATTCAGATATATACGGTGGGAGAATAGAACGAGTACTGCGTCATACATAGAGAAGCGCTTCTGCTGTTTTTATTGCGTTAATTGTAAAAGAATAAAAAAATAATTATTGACCTGGCATATAACTGGTATTATTTTTGTAAGATTAGAAGACATAAAACAATATTTTAATTCTACCGGCGCCTTCTACGATTCGTGTTTAATTTGTCACTGTCATTCGTTCTCCACATATGTAAGAGATGAGAGAAATAGGCAGCGGGGGTGTTTCGCGGAAATTTATTTTAGGAAAATCCTAGGCCTAATTTCGGCACTGGCTCGAAATACATTGGCAGCGACGCGGTTCTTTTATAAACGATTGATATAATCGGCGCACATTAACTTGCAAATAATGTAAATGATGCGAAAATAACGTTAAAAATTGAAATTGGGACGTATAAAATGCCGCGACTCGAAATATTCCTCTGCAGGAAAACGTGAAATAATTCCACTTGAATATTTTTACGGGAGAGGAGAACGAACGAATCAGTATATAATTATAATTATTTCAATAATATCGTAAAACATTTCAGACGCGAGGCAATGCAGTGCGTGTGCATATATGTGTGTGTGTGTGTGTGAGTATTAAATTAAATATAAATATTGAAATCTCAAATAAAAGAAGACCCACTCATATTCTCTCGTGCGTTTAGAGGATTTACAATGAATCTGTAAGGGTCGCCTTCGAGGCTTTTATTCAGGCACGCTGCACACACAAATTTTACAACACGCTTGTACGTGTTCCTGTATTTTTAGCCGAGTTACACGCTTTGCGGCGGCGTTTAGGGGCTTAGCGAGAGAGGATGACGCGTTTGGACGAAATTATTAGTACGTGCATAATCGCGGTAATAGGCGGAGACACGGCACCAACATGGTGATCCTTCCTCGCGCAGCGAACGACGGATCGACGATGCGTCCGTCCATCGATCGTGGAAGCGTGGAAATAGCATCGACAGGAGAATTTATTAATATAACCGTCGTCGTTATTGCCAAGCACACCGGCCGTGCCGGCCGTCGCGACTGTTGCGTGATTTGCAGCTTGTGCTGTCTGTGACAACATTTGGGATGGACTTCCGCTGTCACGAGAGAACGTGTCCTGTCCAAGTTCGCCGCGACACTTAGGGCGATGAAAGGGCACATGCGAATTGCAACGCTTGTCAATTATGCCGCGCCGCGCCGCGTGCGGTTTTCGAAGGATACGTCTATGAGAAATATTTCGTGCGGCTTTGCCACAACTGACCCACGATTTGATATACACGTGATACCGAATTAAACATATCATATTTGTAAGAGATTACGTTTTTGACAATAATTGAGTCATTATATCAAACGTTGTTATTATTGGAAACGCTGCAGTTATCAAACGCAAATGTTCGATATTTTATTTTATTATAAGCAATTCTCTTGATATTTAAAATACGATATTTATTTCGAATTTGAGGCTCAATTCTTTAATATTCCTTGCTGTTAAAAATTATTTATATTAATAATTAAAGAAATGATTGCTAAAGAAATTTGCTAAGGAAATTCTGGCTGGGAGAGAAAAAGTTTTAGATACACGAGCAGACTACAGACTATATATATATATATATACACTAAATTTCTGTTTTGCAATCCGTGGCACATTTGTATGTTTCGCCAGGAATATCATCGCGCGATAGAACACGATGCAACTGCATGAATGCTCAAATAATTAATAATACTTTACGCTGTTTCGACGTTGATTTATGCACGCGGAGTAGCATGCTTGCACCGCGATTACTCGGCAACTTTTAATTCGCACCGTTTACAAGAGTGCGTCATTGATCGCGAAAAATTCTTTACTTTAAAATATCGTTGTTATTAATATAATGTTTACCAGATAACATTTATTGTATCGACTAATTTATAGGTATATATTCTGACAAATCAGGCTTGTGCCTTGAGGGAGAAAAAAGAGAGCGGTCTAAATTAGATTTAATTTAACGTATTTTATACGTATAGTGTATTTGATAGAATGAAAATCATTTTTATAGCGTATATCGGAGATTAAAATATTTGACTTTCGATCGCGAACGTATTCTCACGGTAGTTTCTCTCAGAACAAGAATTCCATCCCATTGTTTCCTCATAATTTTCGAGACCATCAACGTGTTATGTCACAGGAACCTGCGACCAAAGCGCCAACCTTCCGCAAAACCGCCCACGCATGTGAGGAAACCAAGTTTCCCGACACAATAACATCTAAATTATTAATGCGCCCGACATCCTCCGCCAGTAACGCGAAGCGTGTAGCCTTGTGGCCGACCATTATTTACGTAACATTCAAGTCGTGATTTTAACTTACTACTAAACGCATGGTCTACATCTACAACGCGACTGCGGAATGCGCCATGGTTACAGACTGCATGTGAATTTTCGATAACGTGCCTCGAGAAAAGAAGAATAAATTTCACTAATTTTTTTAATATACATACGAAATTCTAGAGATTTAAATAATTGAGAGTGATAAAAATGTATGTCGCAACGCGATTACAATTGGATTTCCAATTTGCAAATGTTTCCTGGCTTTTTCACGCTACGAGAAATCGATAAAAATCCGTTGATCGCTTTTTCCCGAGCCAAGGCAGTGGTATTTTCTTGAAATATTTTTTCGATAAATCACGAAGCGAGGATTGAATAATCTTTGCGGTCAATTTAAACAACGTTTGTTACGCATTCCTCGCGCGTATATAGATGCGCGTGTTCAGCTTCATTCTTCATTGTCGCGAACTTTGCGGGCAGCACGTTTTTCCGCGGCGAGTTAACGACGAATTAAACACCAAACGTTACAACAGCCCCGCGATTCTGTGCAATAAAGACAGCGATAAATGTACTATAAATATACGCGAATAGATCGTATTGCGAGGCTCGTGCCCGTTTAATTTGCCGACAGAGTCTTTACGTCGCAATCGAGAATCGTTCGCGGATTGCTCATCTGCTTCGCGTTGTATAATTCTAAAAGATTTAGATTCTTATCTTCAATTTAAATCTATAACGTACAGTCTTTATTATAATTTAATCTACGCTGCTTTCCTTTTGTTCCGAAATGATCGCGCATATTCTGGGATGAGTACAATTTCTTTCTCGAAAAGATTCTCGCCAATATAAACGTCAATCGAGTCTAATCATTGGTTGATTGTTCTGCTTTCAGGAATTTTACGAAATCGTTGAAACACTTTGGAAAGATCGAGGCGTTCAGCAAAGCTTCGAGAGGAGTAACGAGTATCAACTCATCGACTGCGCCAAATAGTAAGTTTTATTTTTTACAAACTTGTGAAAGGGTACGTCGTATCGTTCGGGATGAGCCGCGAGGAATTTAAAATAGCACAACTGGCATCGTTCTCAATGGACCGTGTTGATGCCGCATCGTGTTGATAGCCAGTCCATTCGGAAACGCATATGCTAGACTCTAGAGTATAGTAACCAAATTAAATTTACAAACAAATGAATTTTGCCATTTTTAACGATCGATTACCTAATACGATGCATTTTTTTCGAATTTTTAATTGAATTTTGCGCACTTGTCCGTCGCTAATCGCTGGATCTCTCTATACGTGAAGAGTATGAAGCGTGGTTATTGCAATCTGCTACGGGAGTGATATCATGAGCACGATAAGAAATCCAGTAAGATAACGCTTACGCGTCGATAACACCACCATGCATCGTGGATCTGTCGTCATTGGGAACGCAAGGTCTCTTTTTTTTTTTTGCAACAAATCTCGTTTAACAAATATAACTCGATCGTTTGCTTCATTTTATCGTATTCAATAACGTTATTAAAAAATATTTATTAAAAAATATAATCTAATAAAAAATATAATCTAATATAATCCATTTTTACATGTGTGAACACATTTTTATTATAATCGTCAAATTATCAGAAAAAAATAAGAAAAATTCATCTATATATAGATATACGATATGTGTGCGTATATTTATAGACTTGTGACACCGATTTAATGCCAATGGAAACAATGCCTTAACGAGGTAATCACTTTAATAGGAGCCACCCGTTTATCTAGAGACTCTCTCTCTACAAATTGACCCAACCTCGAGCTTTTTTGTACGCTAATTCGATGATACGAGCATTGACTTAGTTACATAAAGTGGCGTCCGCGTCGTCGCGTAATTCGATGAGATTACGATAGCGAATGCGTTTGACGGATAAAGACTAAACCGTTGATCGAACAGCAGAATTATAATAGCTGGTATATTTTAAACGCGAGGATTATTGCACCAGATCTTTTTACATATAAAGGAAGGAAGACGTAAATCTCCCTAGCGTAAACTACGACCTTATCCGTTTAGCCAACAATCGGCATGTGACTGTTTTTCACACCTGTCAGGTCGCCAAACACTTTAATTTGACACTCGTATATGAGTACATCCTCTTCTATAGAATCATAGTACAATTTACCGATATACATATTAATATTCCTTGGAACATTCTGTGCATTAATTTATTTTACATAGTTTCTGAATCGATCCATTAAAATTTAAAAATTTTTTTAAAAATTTTGAGATAAAACAGGTGAATGAACTGGGATGATTATTATTATATATTGTATATATATATATAAATATATTTTTTTTAATAATACCTCGCAGTATGTAAATGCGTGAGAGGAAGGAAAACGTTTTCTCAATTCTCTAACAAAGTATCCATTTGAACTTTGATACATTACTAAATTCGTGAATAACGGGGCACGACAGGTCTTTTTCTTTCTTTTTTTCTCTCTCGTCTTCATCAATGTTTCGTGCTACTCGTAATCGTATTATCGCGAATTTCTTGTATTTTTTCTTTTTTTCTCCATTAATACAGCTTTTGGCGGTGAGACTCTCTCTCTCTCTCTCTTTCTCGTGTGCAGCGCAGGAATCGTTGACGTTAAAAATAGCGCGATGTATTTTTAGGCACCGTGCTCCGGTGGTGAGATATAGTGTTCTCGTAGCATATTCGTAGATGGCGGAGACGCAAGATGGCTATAATCTTGTGATATCTAGCCGCATGTAGTGGCCGCGTTTCTACGACTGCTCCTGGTAGTATTAAAAATACGTTCGTCTATTTACGAATACAGTGCATGAGATAGAGGCAAACGCGCGAATTTTATTATATCTGAAAATCTATTTTTTTTTTTTGCAAATAATTTCAAATACGCCGCAATAGGAATATTGTGTAAATTTTCCATGAGTTCTTTCCCCAAGGAAGAGAAAGAGACAGGAATATTGTTCTTTTGAATCTGTTTACTCTTTTTAATGTCACGAGATTTCGGATAATCGTTACCTCGCCGGTAAATTTTTTTCTGTAAACACGCAACGCGTGTGACATAGTAAAACTGTGACCTTCTTACGCGCACTAAATACGGCGCAACGATATGTACTCTTTCACGAAAATATCACAAATCTGAGTCAGTGTGTGGAGAATAAATATTTGTTCATCACACGATTACCGTGCACGACAACGTGCGATTATTGATTGTCGGTTTAATGGGAGTCATTTCCGGATGTTCTTTAGCGTGGACGCTAGGTAAAAGATCCGAGGACATGCAACTGCGTAATCGTCATTAGAAAAAAAAGGAGAAAAAAAATACATAATTCCATATGCGTGCGCGTGCGCGTGTATGTGTGTGCGTATCGCGTGTTCGTGTTACCGTATTTTAACCGTGCGTCTCGTCTCGTTTATAGAAGTAAGCGACGTTTCAATTACGTGATAATACACCTCGGCGCGTCTTAAAAAAGGAAACACGCGCCGCTATATTTAGGCACTATAGTCTATATCGCGCGGATTATTGATGCTGCTATACACATAGCTCGTAAATGTTTGGATAGACAGCCGCTCTTGCGCGCCTCTCTTCTTCACCATCGATACCTTGGGGTGTCGACAATGATTCTTTTCTCTTTTATTTTTCCATATCTCAAATAAACACCCTCAAAATGACGAAATGGCCTAACCATAGAGGGTGTTTATCTTTTGTATTGTAGTTATTCCGCGATTAAAAATTTAATGACAAAAGTTATCGAAATTATTTGTTCGTTCTTTTTGGGTGACATGTATCTTTTCCGCAACCATCGATTAAATAGAATTTTTTGATCTAATTAAGGAAAAAAATTCAACGAGAGAGGGCTAGAAGAGAGTGGAAAATTAGTGAATTTTGAGACAAAGCGACGAAAACCAACCTTGTCGGACTCCAACCTGGGTAAGAGAGAAATTCTCGTTTCGCGCGTCTGCCCAAGTAGAGAAGACAAAGAGAATGTTTAATGTTTACCGTTGAGAGCCGCCGCACGTTGGCGACGTTAGGGTGGCGCGCGGCTGGAACCGCCAGGTCCGTCAAATATTTGCGATTCGAGCGAATGATCGCGCGCGTGGTTGGACGTCGAAGCTCCAATTTGTAACGGCAGCGAGAAGATCGGGGCCATCGCGGGATTCCTTGTGCGCGCGATATCAAATTGAATCACGGCGACTTTAAAACCGACGCCAAAACATATATAATCGGATCGTTCTCTCTCTAATCTTATCCCTCTTAAATCCTGGAGCCGCGGGGAGAGCGAGCCTTTTCGAGTTCGCGTCGGGTTCACAGTTTCCCTTCGGACTTGCGATTCGGAAAAATTTTCAGCTCAATCTCGAATTCCTCCACGGCCTAGTCTGCCGTGACTCGGAAATTTCGTTGCAACATTATCGATTCGCGTCGCAGGGGGAACACTATACACCTTACATCGTACAAACGGCGCGATGGATTCGTGGCGGCGCGGTTTGATGCATAAGCCGCATACTGATTATACGTCGGCCCTACATCTACATGTCGAGTAGATGTAGTTCTAGGATTTAAACCGTTACCCACTTTCCGACCACCGGCCCTATACACACGGGGTGTCTCGGATGTCATTGCATATGCATACATACATGCATATATTAGCGAGACGAGACTCGCGTAGACAGTCGATGGTTAATGTCGTTCGGAAGCTAATTGAACTTGGTTATCGTAAAATTAATTATATTTTAAAGAAGCCAGACTTTTTTAGGATTATCACACATTGATAGAAACTACGTATATATTCACGGAAACAACGATTTTGCTGGATCCAGATCTGAAAATAATTTTCGTTGGATAATCAAAATAATTTTGTTGGAAAGTCCAACTGATCGCTAGAATATCAAAACGTTTTATAGCAATGCTTATTATTTTTAATTTTCCAATAAAATTATTTTGATGGTCACACAAGAATTATTTTCAGATCTGTATCCAGCAAAATTTTTAGACCTTTCAACAAAATCGTTCTTTCCGTGTTCTATTCTATTCTATTTTATTAGAAAATTTTAACAATTCATTCGAAATCAATCACCGAGCATCCATATCGAAGGAATTGAGAAGTAGTTAAGGAGGAGAATGGCGGCCAATCAGTCTCGCTAAAGGAAACTCCCCTCGGAATTGTCCGGGGCTCTGTATATGGAGTTAGATTAACACCTCGTGTATAATATTCTACATCGTGCTCAATAACGTGGCCGGAGCTTAGAGCACAGAAGGGGCTTCGCTAGCTGTCGACATCAAACGCGCGTTCGATTCGCGTCGTCCGAGTTCAGTCGATACACGTTATTATCGCGCACGATCCGGCTTTCATCATTTTCCCCGCTTTGTCGTCGCGAATTAATTCTTCGCGAACGAACGTCGAACGTTTAACCTTTAACCGGAAGCGGTTTGAAAAATCCAACGCGGCATTTTGTCGATCGCTATACGAAGCGCCGCGCCATGCTGGCTCTATCTCTCTTCTAGCGATAGACATTCGAGAAGCGCAGAGATCGAACAGAGAATAATTAAATAAACGCTGCAGCGGAAATGTAAAAAGACCGACTGAGAGATCATTATAGGCTTTTTTTATGCCACACATAATCTCCTCTCCTATTTAAAAAAAAAGGTATGTTAAATCGATACCGATCGGATTATCGAAAAATCTCCAAGTTTATTATTGGCTCTTTTCCGCGACTCTGATTAGTTCTTTAGCTGCACTTACTTCGTGAATGGCTGTCAACGTACGTATATTTTGACAGTCATGTGCTCTAATAAAAGAGATACAGAGTATACCGTATATTGAACAGTTTTCTCGCTGTAACGTGTATGTCGCTACTTTGTTTTTTATAGGAAATATATCGTGATTCTATTTATATAGCTGTGTTTCAACATTCCTCGAAAATACACGCGAATTACGGGCTTGATCTGCAATTTCGTATAATACTTGGCCGCGTATATTATTTCCCGTTGACGTTACACGTTTCGACTAGTCTGGATCGCTGTCAGAAACGTTGTCACAATTGCTCATCTCAAGGTCTCGGCGGAGGGTTAACACGAGCATGATAACGAGAAAATCGTTCTGCACAGCAGCAGCCGCCAGTAGGTCACGACCTCCTTCCTCTTTCAATTCTCTGGAGGTCGATAGCCTCATTTCTGGCGGAGCGCGCCAATTCCATGACCTACCTTCTCTCGCGAGCCTATACGATCGTAGACACGCAGATATGCGGATCTTTTTTCTCCCCCTCCCCCTCCTCCTTTTTTATATCGCGAGCACTATAGAAATTCGACGTATCTTTTCTCTCATTTATAATCGGAGTATACATCGTTTTAGACAAATTACGCAACATTTGATCGTTTTTGACAATAATGGGTGCTTCGAATCGATATAATGATGCAAATTAAATAAAAAACATCTAATATTTCGTAATAACAGTCTCGAAGGTATTTATGTATTTTTTTTATGATCGAATTGTATCTATAAAAAAAATATACTCGAAAATTTCAAAAAGTTAAATTCCTGCGTTAGTTTAAATATAATATCGGACTTTTACAATTATACATTAGGTTTTGGGAAAAGAGTTATTATATAAATACATATCCTTTAGAAGCAAATTATAGTTTTGCAGTCGCATTATGTCTTGTTAGTGTCGTCGATATTATACTTGATACAATTTACTATTGTCTCTTTCTCGAGCACATTCAAGGGCTAAGTACTTTTTCATTTATTCACCGTATGTACATCTCTTGGAGAGATCGTCCACTCGGCTTCGTATAATTGTATATAAATTATTCTTACATAAAATTTTAAATTCTCTTTTAATTTTATTTTTTTATCAGAGTCATTATTTAACCTCTAGTCTAACAAGTCCAACAGTCTTTGTCTCCCTTCTTTTCTGCTCGTTGAGAAAATTATTATTGAAACTGTTTAATTTTATCTATACTTTTCATATACGGCTTTGAAGAATCAGTATTAAGCTGTTAACAAATGCTATCGCTACTGCTACTCTAACACGCGGATACCTTTAATTATCTCGTAAAAGAGGAGGCGTTTTATAACATTTTCCGCGATAATAGCGCACGCGGTGTTAAAACCTTGCATATACGATTGACGGCGAGCAGAGAACGAGCGGTGGCAGTGACCCATGACCCGGATCGCGGAAAGTGGGTGCCAGAGGGGCGTGTATGCACCCGGCGAGGCCGTGGGGTTGGGGTTAGGGTAGGACATCGTCGAGGATCGATTTTCCCTCTCGGTGGGCTCCCTCCACCCTCGGCGTGCAGGAAGGGAGGCTGGATCGCGAAGGGAGAGGGTCCCGGCACAGAGAGACGAGCGGACGAGCGAGTGAATGGGAGCGCGGGTATATGAGAAAGGTAAAGAGAGCCGGATGCGTGTGTGCGTGCATGCGCACGTGTACATGAACGCGCACGAGAGAAAGAGAATGTTCGCTCTCCGAAAGGGTGATAGAGGGTGGAGACAGGGAGGCGGAGAAAGAGAGACTGTGAGGGCAAACGCGAGTTCTGCAAACACGGGATGCGAAATAGCGAGAGAGAGAGAGAGAGAGGAGAGAGAAAGAGAAAGAGAGAGATTCTCTTGGGCGCTCCCGATATTCCGCCCTTCTTCAGCATCCGCTTTCGTTCTCCGTCGCGCGGCGTGCGCGCTCTCGTCGACGCGTTTCCTGCAGGATCCTGCGGCATCCTACGTGTCCCTACCTACGGATCTGAGATGACTCTACCGAGCAGGAGCACGGCGCTCCTCTCTGTTGGAGCGGCGAGTGCGGCGACGAGAAGAGAGGAGAGAGAGAGAGAAAGAGAAAGAGGGATCGGCTCAAGCCCGGCCGACCCAGGAACGCGGCTCGATCGAAAGAGGAAAGTTGACACTGTGTCGGAGGGCTCCGACCGACCGCTTCTGATAACGTTATTGGCCCGTATTCCGGCGACGCGTCTAAGCGGCTAAAAGCGGCCACCCGATTCCGCATTTCTCATGTCCCGATCACTGTCCCCGCATCTTCCCCTCTCCCTCCCCCGATTTTTTCCCTTATATCGGGAGGATATTGCACGCGCTCCTCTCTATAATCGATAGACACGCGACGAAAATAATTTGGCAATTTTGGCAACGGCGAGGACGTATCGAGAGATACTATCGGTACACTATCGCAATCCGGACAGGAAATCGATGCAAATGAGATAATACGGTTTATTATTATCCCGCGGTGTTCTATTCCAGCGAGTCGGAGATACGTACATGCATAATGCGATGCAGTTGTTGTACAGCGGTGTCTGATGTAATTGTAACAATATCTGATGGATATCGTACCGAGCAATAGTCGTAAGATCGATGCGAATATAATAACATGGTTTATTATTATCCCGCGGTTCTACACCGGGGACGGGAATACGTATACAATGTTATGCGGTCAATATATAACGCTGCTTCTCGTACAACTAATATAACTATATAATGTGATAATATCGCGAATAACAGCTACAAAAGATTGGCACGGATATAATAATACGAGTTATTGTTATGCGTGATCTAAAATATGCTTTATTATCCCTCCTTCGGGAATAAGTCGCTTTTCGCCGCCAAGTATTGATGTTTAATTAAATACAAGTTCTCGGTCAAATTATCCATTCGAATGATACAGTAATTGTCAGAGAGTAAAACGATCGGCAGAGAGTAGATATCTTGTGCACAACACGGTTTATAAACATCCCTTTCCTGTCGTACAAATTACAAATCTCTAAAAGCGAATTGTACAAATCCTAAACAAATCCTATAACTTCTTACAGTTGACACGTTCAAAGAGACCAAATGAGCGCGTTAAGATTCTTTCATTCAGGTTACTCGAACATATTGGTACGAATGATGAGAAGCGTTTTATTAATGCTGACTAAACCACACATAAATATCGTTGTGTATATCATTGAAAATTTATTCAGCAGCTTTCCGTTCTAGGTTCTCGTGATACAAACTGTTTTACGAGTTGTCGGAGATCATTATACATTTCGAAGCATATCGAGTATTTGTATCAAAATATGGAAAAGAATTATGCAGGAAAAAGTAGCGTTATTGTCAGATTAGTTCTTTTTAGATTCCTGCCCTTTTCTCTCTCACACGCTCAGTATATGCTTTCTTTGTACAATATTTTAGACTTTTGAAAATATACGACTCTGTATAAAAATTTCGAGAAGTTTCTCTATACAATCGAAGCAACGTGTGAAACTGAGGCATATGGAAAGCAACGTGCTATGTACACTGTACAGACCTCCTTTATGCACTTGGCAAGATAAAATAGATAAAAACGAATAACATAGATGCGCGAAGAAAAATTCCGTGGCGACGAGATCGTCCTGCGTATACCTTTCTCAGGATGCATTTCGATATTTCTGCTTCGAATTTCTTTACTTTTGCGACGTAAGTTCCTCTGTCTTTGTCAAAATATATGGCGTAACTGGAAATTTAGATCTCTCGCGTCCTGTGGATAAAATACAAATCGCGACGTGATTTATTTTAATAATGTCTGCGATGTTTGAACACGCATGTCGCGCTTCCAGAGCAGATCTTTCATACGCGTTTCTTACGATGCTTTACGATGGTATATTAAAAATTTTTACATCTTTCACGTTTACGTACGGCGGATTAATGTTGGCGTTCGAAAACGCGAAAATTCAAGATTTTGGTGGCAAAAATTTGATTCACATCTACATGGCACACAAAAGAGACACGTTTTCGACCACATACGGACGCGTGGAGTGGCTCTCACGATAACGATGCGGTTGATTGACAATGATTGTTATCGCGAATGCCTCGCATCGATCGAAACTAGTTCAATTTGATTTTGACGAATTTATGTTGCCACGTCGTTAAAGGTGCGGATACTTTTCGTTTTCTTTTTTAGATGTAACTCGCGGCACAAATTGACGAATTAGGAAGGCTTATAATAGTGTCGGGAAATAATAATTTACGAGGATTCACCGTCTCTCTCTCTCTCTCGCTCTTAATACAAATTTTTGATTGTAACATCGCATATATCTCGCGTAGTCAAGTTAGGCTTGTTTCTGTAAAGTAGCAGTTGCAATAAAAATTTACAATTGTTCCTTTTTCGGATTGGTAACGTTCGCTCAATGAAACGTGCATCGAATGCACGTCTTTTCGTTTTTCCATTCGGCACGCGTAACGTACGGAATATTCATGGAATATTGCGAATGCCATGGCACGTAGTTATTGGATATGTTATCGTATAAATATTTAAAAAAATACACGCGCGATGCTCTCCAAATGTTTGCAACAAACTTTTGAAATATTACAAATTGTCTAATTGAATCTTACTACTAATTCTTCTTTCGTTCTGTTTCAGTTTTCTAGATAAGGTAGCCATTGTAAAACAGCCGGATTACACGCCCACGGAGCAGGTAATTATTACAGTTTCCCCTTTTGTTTGAATCTCTTGATGTCGGTAATGACGGGGTAACTTTAGAGTGTTTAGACATCCAAATCTTGTTTTTTTTTCCATATATCTTTGACGTTAAAAAATTATGAAATTACTTGGATCTTGAATCTTCGTTCGGCGCTCACAATCTCGCATTTTTATGTATGACTATGTATGCGTGTAACGAGTGCGTGCTTGCGTTTTGTTTCAGGACATCCTCAGGTGTCGAGTCCTTACATCCGGCATTTTTGAGACGCGGTTTCAGGTCGACAAAGTAAACTTTCAGTAAGTCCCATAATGCGACACGCCGCTACTCGCGCACGCTTTACTCCAATGTCGTGTGGCTATATATAGCCAACGTATTACAGTCACATCGGCCGGTAAATATAAACGCAAAGCGCGGCGGCGGCGGTGGCGGCAGCGGCATCTTAGCCTAGCGCGCTTCTATGTATTACGCCTGCCGCTAGCAAGACTTACACTGTTATAACGTGTAAATCTGAAATCCGTTAACCGCGTTAACGCCTCCGCAACTTTGTAACATTTTCCCTTTTTGCGTTCACTCGCAGATCACGTACGGCGCCCCACATTATTTTCTATAGGCCCACCACACCCCTTTGTTGTCGTCTCCCTCGTTATACTCACGTATAGCCGTTTCGCTTCTAACAAATATTCGAAAAAATTCGTGCGTTTGTAACTTTAAACTTGAGGCGTCTTTTCAAGAGGAATCGTACAATGTCGCGATGTAAATTCGAAAACGAAAGGTCTATTTTCTATCTATAATATTTTCAACGAAAGTCAAAGGTCTAAGAAGTCAAAGGACTTGGGGATGCGATTTAACTTTTTGTAAGATTAGTATTATTACTCTGAATTGTCCTAAACGGATAAGAGCTGCGATAAGGGTGTAGATCGCGGGTTAGACGCGGTTCGCGACGCCGCAGTCCGATATTTTATTGAATATTTTCCCGTTTTTTGCAGTATGTTCGACGTCGGTGGTCAGCGTGATGAAAGAAGAAAATGGATACAGTGTTTCAATGACGTTACGGCGATTATATTCGTCACGGCGTGTAGTAGTTACAATATGGTACTCAGGGAAGATCCTACAAAGTTGAGACTCAGGGAGAGTCTCGATCTCTTCAAAAGTATCTGGAACAATCGGTACGCAGCTGAGCTCCGAATTTTACTTTACGTTAGACACGATTTAAATAAAAATCCGTAATCGATATTTTGACGATTCCGACGGGCATTATATCATGTCGTGACACGTCGTTATCTCTCGCAGATGGCTCCGCACGATCTCGGTGATCCTGTTCCTAAACAAGCAAGATCTATTAGCGGAAAAGGTAAAGGCGGGCAAGCACAAATTGGAGGATTACTTCCCGGAATTCGCGCGCTATCAGACACCGGTCGAGCCCGGGATGGCCGCGGATCCTTCGGAAATACCCGACGTCATAAGGGCCAAGTACTTTATCAGAGACGAATTTCTCGTAAGTATAACGCGCGCGTTGACGATCGCCGTAATTCCGATCGCGGCTGTTTGACGGAACAGAGCATTCTGACCTTGTTGCGACCCGCTTATCTTTATAGCGCATAAGTACAGCGAGCGGCGACGGCAAGCACTACTGTTACCCGCACTTCACGTGCGCCGTCGACACGGAGAACATCAAGAGAGTGTTCAATGATTGCCGAGACATTATCCAGCGGATGCATCTGCGCCAATATGAGCTCTTGTGACTTCGTTCCTGCCGACATCTCCTGTCATCATTCGTTAATCTGACGGACGGTCACGCTCGTGCTTCTACTCCTCGAGTCGTTACAATCACACTGCGAACCGAATGAGCGAGCGAGCTGTGAACCGTGAACTGTGAACTGTGAACCGTGGCCGCGAGGATTCGCGAAAGTTCCACACGTCTGGATGTATTCAGGTAACGCGTAGGGCTTCCTCGCTAGTCCAGTACCGAAAAGCCGTAACCAGAAGGTGACGACCTGTGAAAGTGACTCTTCTCCTCATCGACGAGAGATTTAGAGGAACAGAGACGAGAGTCAATAATATATACGGCGATACATACCGCTGCGAGCAACTCTTCGCTGCGTCATCTGTCTGTCTGTTTGTCTGTCTGTCTGTCGCGTAGTAGCGAAGCGAGTTCCTTCTCGCGCGGAATATATAAATTCGCGCCAAACCGCGAGCGAGGCATGACGCGAGATGACCGCGCGTCGACACGTCACGGCCCCGCACCGTGTCCTAGTACCGAGTGAGTTGCAGTTGGACGAAAACGAATGAGCGGGCCCCTCCAAGCGGGCATATTCTCGACTCTTCTTTGAGTTAGATGAAAAAGAGTGTGCTGAACACCCGTCGTCGCCCATCCCCGAACGATGGCGGGGACGAAACTCTCTCGTGCCGTTCGATCGTGCGTGTGAACCATTACCTCGTTAATTTTATTCCTCTCGCATGTGATTCCGCTTTGTGGCGGAACGCGTGAATCCTGTCATAAGCGTGGGCCAACGTCGTCGTCGGATGTAATTCGAGGGACGGATCCTCTTCGTTCAACACACTCTTGACGTGAATTATCGTTCAGATTAGAGTTAAGGATGTTTCCTAAGACTTAAGCGAACCTCTCCGGTAAAAAGAAGAAAAAAGAAAAAAGAAAAAAGAATGAATTTTTATCGTTTTTTGACTTTCCTTCTTACTCGTTTCCGAATCTCCGCTATACTTTTGCCTCGCTCCCTCTCGTACATTTCGCTTAGAATCTCCGCGTCTCTTATTTCCTTCGTTTTCTTTCGTTGAGCTTTCGACTTCCAAATCTCGATTCTTTTTATTATTACATTGGCCCGATCTATAGGAGTCTCAGCCGCGCCCTTTTTACGAGAAGAGTATTTTGTGAGATTTTACAGTATTTCGAAGAGCGTTTTAATTATATAACTATGTATCGAGTATATGTACAGGGTGACCGTCCACGGATTCTCATCGTTTTAACATATGTTTCTTACGATCGAGATCTCTCACGGATATGGATTTCCCTTTTTTCATCGATATATATATATATATATATATATATATATATATATCGTAAATCAAGTTACTTTTTTCATTTTTCTGTACTTACAATTAGGCACGCGTGCTATCCACAGCAGCAATCGTCTATATATATATCCTAGCCCATGCGCGCCCGCGCGCGTAAGAAATGTGCCACGTTCAAGTTCTTTGTTAACTGCACGCAAGTATAATTTCGCGATATGTTGCACGCGCACGGCGTTTCGAGACTTGTGTAAAAGTAATCATTTTCCTTTCGCCCTGAAATTCGCATCTCTCTGCTTTCGCAAAGAAATCGTCGCGCCCCGATGATACGTGGTAACGTGTACAAATTTTTACGCTCCTGATCCCATCACGGTCAATCACGGTGGATCGTTTTTTATGATCCTAAAACTAAAACGAGACAAAAGATCCGAAAGATGTGCGAAAAAATCCTTTTGCTTGCGCACATCTTCAATATAATTGCATCTCACTTTCCTCGTCGTTGCTTCTTGAACACCCCGTGTGCGGCAAGCTATATATCCGCCAACTTTCCCTCGACGATTTTCATTATATTTTAGTCGAAAATTAACGAAATGCTTGCGCGCTAATGACGTATATACATAGATCAAGTATAATGCAATTTCAAACAGTTAATTAGCAGCTATTCCAATCACTTTCCTATTGAAGTACGGAAATCAAATATTTTTTCGCTATAATATTTAAAAGTAAATAATAATAAATTTATAATTGTATAATATATAATAACTTTATAAAAAGAAGACAACTATATATACATATATTTTTGGTGAGAGATATGTACTAAGTCTGAAAATTTGGCATGCATTAAATGAAGTTTGGCCGCGATTGTATTAATGAAGAAATAACGTAATGGATAACGTAAATAATTAAGTATTAACAAATAATGTAATCTCGTTAGCTTGGATAATGATGACATATTGGAACGGAAAGGAAGATTTTGACGAATAAATCCTCGCGCATTTACATTGTCAATTACCGACTTCATTCTTGTTCTCGAAGAATCGAGAAACCTTGGTCTATGTTCGTATATCATTGTGTGCTTGCGTATCGAGTTGTTTAGAAAAATTATTCATGTATACGATATGAAGTCGTCAATACGTTCTCCATATGTACATATACATTGTCGCATATTTCGTCGTTGCTTATAAGATTCTGTGTGATCGAAACAGAAAAAAAAAATCATGTAAAATTGCGCACACCACGCTCGTATACACACTTTACACGCGTTGTTCAGTTAACTTTTTAACTATGTACTGACACAAGCGTCTAGCAAGAATTGAGACATACTTTACTAGTAAAGTTTCAATTTGAATTGATTGAAATTTTTCTCAGGATTAATTCATGCCATAGCTATTTCATAGCGACTTACATGAAAATTATAAATCTTGACAGTTTGTAATTGTAATCCAACTCTATCTTGTTTCCAATAGTTTGAAGGAGAATCTTTTTTTTTAATAGTGTAAACAAAAGATTAATTCCGATTACCAATTCATAATTATATAACATAAATGATAGGAATCAAATAGAAGCGAGCGAAGTTAAGAAATATAAAATGAGCGAGATTCCGAGGGTTTTATGCAACACGCTGTATTACACTCGACCGTTATTTCTATCTTTTTTTTATTAATTATTTGTAATCATATTTTTTTGTAATTACATAGTTTAATCTGTTTGTTGTGTCGGGATCGCACAATTGAAATGGCCACGTCAGTTTATCTCGTAAGATTATTTTTAAGGTTTAAGGAATCTTAGTCAATTCCGTTTTTATAAATGTTCACGCAACTTTATCTTCTCTTTTTTATCTCGCGCTATTTTATTCGGCGACATTAGCACACTGTAGGTCCGCTCGACCTACTAAATTAATATCTCCCGCGCGACTTTTCACCATAACTTGACAGGAATATAGAATCTCGGGGCATTACATAACAGATATTCTCTACATGCCGACGTGTCCACAACTACGTAACTTCATACAATATTGAGGTATGTATACAAATACGTGAAGCACGGTACCAAAAAGTCGATCGTAACATTAGAAATTTTTCTTCGCGTTATGTCTTATTTTTATTTACTAAATGACGGGACAAAGAATTATAGATAAATGTATTAAATTTCAAAATTCTAGCGCGTTTTTATAGCAATGAAAAAAAAAATAAAAATCACTGATTCTGCGAATGTTCGACGAAGAAATGGAATAAACCGATTGTTTTACTATGTACATTTGCACCTGTCGTACTAGTGTATAAGTACGTGCAAGCCATAGTTTGTAACATATACGTATTTATAAGTTTGTGAAACATTATTTTTACTATGACTAAAAGGCGAGAGAGAGAGAGAGAGAGAGAGAGAAGGGGGAAGAGAAAAGGAGAGAATCTCTTTGCGATTGTGTTACCTATTAAACTTTCGTAAAATTTGAATGTTCGCATTCGGCACAAAGTCTAGCGAAGGCGAATATAAAGAGTAATTAATATTCTCATGCTTATATTTTTTTCCCTCTGCTCTTTTCCTCTTTTTTCCATAATAGAAGAGAAGAAAAAACGGATACGCCCTGTTTTTTTATTTTAAGAAGGTTTACGTAGCGACGTCAAATGGAAATTAAGCGCGAGCAGGAGATAAATCGAAGCCACGCATAATGACGAATTTTTATTGTCCATACTACTGGCCACGACAGTATGTACGAATGCGTGTGTATTTTGTGTGTATCGTGCGCGTGTATGGGTATGCGTGACACGCAAAGACAATGTCACAGATCATGAAAAAGAAGGAATTCACGAAGTATGTAATATATCATTTGTATGTTTGCGTGCGTGTATACGTGTACGCAAAAACGAGATGGATGTGACGCGATGTGCCGAATAAATAACTGATTTACGTGGCCGCAACTATATATGTATATGTATATATAGCGCGACGTACACACACACACACACACACACATATACATAGACGCCGAGATCGCACAAGTTTTCTTTTCTTTTATCATACGTAAAGAAAAAAACAAACGGGCATGCATAAATATTATGTGTATGTGAAATATATCGTAATTTGCGCAGATTTTTTATGTTTGTAAATATGACAATGTCAGAGTCTGTGTTATCGAGGGAAAGCGATGACATTATGATTTCGGCGGACCTATTTAAAATTGCGAGTCTCGCAATCTGGACCGCGGATAAGCGACGAGCGACCGTTAATGCAGTGGAAAGCCGTATCGAATCGATAAGATGCCTCGTTGACGATCGAACGCGAGATACAGCAACGAGTGTCTTGTGGCGATCGTGAATGTGATTTTAGTTGATAATGAGCAGCAAATAAGAAAGCAATGCAATGTTAAGCGATACAAACGCCAATCGTCGATTAAAAAAAAAAGAAAGATAATAAATACAGCACGTTGTCCGCGAAGCGCATTATTGTTTCCCCTTTAGCAATATTCTTTGTGGACCACGTCGCCGATTATGTAGCCTTAAATAGCGAAAGTGAAAGTAGACACGTATGGAATTGGAATCAGCGTAACGTAAACGAGAATATAAAGGAGAATATATTCCGAAGTAACAAGGGAGCTGTAATTACTAACTATTGTTAATAACTAACCATCAGAATTTTGCGATCCGCAGTTCAGTTTTGCGCTAACCCAGCTGTTTCTAATTTTGGTTTATTGTTAGTCTAGTTCTTTTTAACGTAGAAAAAGAAAAAGTTAATAGCGACATAACGCAAGGGTTTAAAAAAGGAAACGTTTAAAAATATGTCTGAAATATTAGAATTGAGACAAATGCTTCTTTCTTCTCTTTAAAGAATTGCTTGACAAAAATCGCTAATCTCTCAGTTGGTAATGCGACTCTCTCAGCATACATAATAACGTTGACAGTAGAAAACATTTAAAAAATAGGTAATTATTCAATGATCCTATTAGCTTCGGAATTCGAGAACGTTATGCATTTCCAATAAGAGCATACGAAACATCTATCGTACGCGGCAGCTGGATGCTGCGTGCCGCGATTAAGATTAAATCATGAATGAATCTTGGTCGTTACGCTGTTATTCGATAAACAATTTTCTCACATTGTCGAATCTTATTAAAAGCGTATATATCGTTGTAACATTAATTATTATTGTCATCGTGATGGACGATTGTCGTGTGACGGTCATTGTTAGGAGCTGACCTACTGAAAGTAGCAGCTTGAGCGGGTTCTTCGTAACTCTAGTGTCGACGAGATTTGCAGAATCGGATTAAAAAAATTATGCACAAAATCTCGAAAAGTTCATATGAGCGCGATGAAATCATGATCGATGTCCATCCGGCACGAGTGCGACTTTGCTTTTATAAGAGATTTATCTGGAATTTTATATCCTAGTTTTATATATACATATATACATATATATGTATATATATATATAAAATGGCATGTTTTAATCATTATACATATATATTATTATATATATAATATATATTATTATATATATAATAATATATAATAATTTTATGTATGTAATGACATGTTTTAATCTTGAGAGAAAAAGTGAGAGAGTTTCTTTGCGATTTTTCGAGAAAAAGAAAACCAAAAATCTAATTTTACGCAAACACTAGTCTTTCACCCTATCAAAAAAACATTAAAGCGAATGCATGAGAACACACATAAGATAAAATTGTATCAAGCACGCGCTTACGATTCCACGTTACCATTTGTCACGAAACTGTATCCGACGATTAGTTGTAAACAGCGAGCTGCAGAATAATGTCAGATATACTTTCTTTTTGGATGGTTTCATCGACTGGATCAGACACAGAGATTGTATATTCGGTGGTGTTATCGTTTAATTCGATATGTGATGTATATACATATATATGTGTATATATATATATATATATATTCGTTATATTAATTAAAATTTTAAAAATATTAACACAGCAACGCGATGTGTGTGTGTGTGTGTGTGTGTATTTGTGTATACACACACACACAACTTGACAACTAACCGAAATGTATGAAACGAGCGAATGTTTCCACTGAAGATGTGAATTTATTTCGGTTCGAATTGATATCTCGATGAAATTGTCCAAATGTGGCATAATCTTTCGGAGCTGGGCCAGTGCACTATCTTATCGCTCTTCCATTCACGGAGAGGAAAGGAAATGTTCCATTATCTTGTATCTATATCATGGTTCCACCATGGTTCCATAGTGGATCGTGCCTTTCTATAGTTTTTTTATAGTTTTTCTCACACAAGTCCTTTTATTTATTCTTCGTTGTTTGTCGAAAAAATTCGATTTTTTTCCTAGGTAAATTAGAAACGCGGAGCGATCTTACGTTCTCTGTTTCTCACCATAGAATTAATTTTTAATTTAAATTAGTAGGATGATGTGAAAGTTAGTAAATGAGGATAAAAGTTAAATTTGATCTCTACGTAGATATATAAAGTATTAAAAAATACGCATGCAATATGTTATTTTCTTTTCTCCAATTTTTCCCTTTTTCATGTGTCAAGCTATATTTATGCGATCTCGTTAAACGTATGATTTTCTAATGTGAGATCGTTCTGCCGTTTTAGAGAAAATTTGATAAGCAAGAGAAAGAAGCTACTTGTGCCTCGAGCGCGTTATCTATTCTAGAAATTAAGTAATTAATCGAAATGTCATTTCTAAGGATATACGTGTGGTGAACGATCGTCAGTGCTATTTGGAATTTGACTTTTTCTAGTCTTCGATAGCGGTTCGCTGGGCTCCACATTTTTATAAAGCGTAAAATATCGCCGTTAAATATACATCATCGCGCGTTTAATGGTATACGTTATAAGAGAGATATTATATACGGAGAGAAAGAGAGAGTGAGAGTGAGAGAGAGAGAGAGAGAGAGAGAGAGAGAGAGAGATGGGGTTTATTGATCTTACCCAAAAAAATATATCCAGTAAATTATAAGACGCGATTAAAGTAAAGAATCAGTATCGGAGGAGACTGACGAATACAACGTCGTTCCCTAAAGATAATCACTTTTAATCTAAATCATTATAAGAAAAACGATGGATCACATAATTATTATTGCGCGTGAATGTGAGAAAGAAACGTGAAAGAAAAGAAAAAAAGAAGGAAAATTCCAAACTCGTCAATATAACTATGTCCCTTCGTGCCCCGTTTTCTCTCGTATCATTAAATGATTAAATTATTCGTTATTGCGTGTCTCTTAGGAAAATGTCTAGCTGAAGACTTAAAAATAGATTATTATTATTACTATTATTATTATTATTATTATTATTATTATTACTATCGATGCAAAAGAGGCGAAAGCGTGAAAGAAGATACCTCTTCGATGGTGACATTTAATAAGTGCTATACTAATTTAGGAGCGACTGAGTCGACGCAAGTCGAGTAAGAGCAAACGCGACGTGAGTGACTGGCGAACTCGTGAAATTCGTTAGGAAATCAAATTCATATTGTTCGTGCCACGATTTCCATCAATTTTGTTTGTGCTCTCGCCACCATGGCTTGTAATTCCGTCGAGAGGAGTTACATTGTAAAAAGAGAAAGAGGCAGAGAAGAGGGAAGTGCGAGAGATGAGGTGTATCAATAGTACCTCGCGTACAGTGCAATTAATACAGATGAAAAAATATATATATAATGCTGCCGTGTAAAAGTACGCAAATGATCAAACACATATGGTTAAAGGCACTTAGTGTGCGTGTATATCTGATGGTGCCATTCAAATGCGAATCGTGGAACGAACACAAGTAGAATATAAATAAACATATATATATATACATATAAATATATTATATAAATATATATGCAATTCATTGAATCAATCGCGCGGTTCGAATGGTGTGCATTGCGTGTATTTTAGACGGTGTATATGGGACTACGTGCATGATTGTGTTAAACGTGTTACTAGATTATGAGGAAAATATTTCATTCTCATTCTGTGATGACTGTCTGCTGAATACGAGAGGTAAGAAGAGAACAAGAAATGTTTACATGAAGTCTTAAGGCTAATGGATTAATAAATTGATTTAGCGAATAAAAATTTAATTTTAACATTCGTTGTAACTAACTGCGCAAAAAAAAGAGAAAGAGAGAGGAAAGGGAGAAATGAATCTTTATAAAAACGTAAAGAGACGCGCGTGTCTCTCGTTCGTTGACGTATATGAAGAGGCGGACACGATAAATTCATCGTGCGCAACGCGTAGAATCTTAATTAACATGTTAAAAACGAAAAAAAAAAACAAGAAAATCGAACACACGCTGTATCCGAATTGCGGTGAGAAGAGAACAGTATGATTTGTATACTGTATTACTTTAGTCGTTTACCATTGCTTTCGAGAATATATAAGAGTTATGTGTATAAATTATTATGTGTAATTAAACAGAAGTCATTTAGTAAATTCTATGTGTAAATAATATATTTTACATATTGGCTTAGTTTACACCGAGCACTTGATACGCTAATAACTTTCTATTAAATTATTTTAATTTCGGCAATGTATTTAAAGAATGATGTACTAAACAATGTACTAAATATCATGTATATGCACCAAGATGATTAAATACACATATCATATACACATTTACATTTACCGTCGAAATTAAGATCATTTAATAGAAAGTTACTAGTTACATATATCAAGTGCTCGAATAAATCTAAGAGATCCAAGAGATGCACCACAATCGGTGTAAACTAAGTCGTTACAAATACGGAAAAGAAAAACAAATGCGAAAACAATATATCAATACAATTACGCGCGTGCACATACACACACACACACACACACAC